CAGCACTAAGGAATATCTGTGGAATTTGCGCTGCAGGACAGAGGTAAAATGCAGGAAGAATTCCTAATTTTGCTGGTATTTACAAGAGAAAAACAATTAACAATTTCAGTTTAAGTAAAGCAAATACTATATTGAGTTCATTTGCAGTAAATAATGTATGATTAAATGTAGAGAGGATTAAATAAATAGAATATTAAAATCATTAGTTCAGGTATAATGACAGATACAAACCTTTTCTTCTGCAGTTCAGAGTTGTCACGGGAAACACGTACATGTGGCACAAAGAGGAATCAAATTCTGGTTTGACAGGTTCAGGCTTCTCCTGTTTTATGTTTTTGGGATCCTGCCTGTCCTCTTCACTACATAGCTGATCAGCTTTTATCTGCTTTAACTTCTGATTTTTCAATTCTATTGGGTACACACATTTTGCATAATTCCCCAAATTCCTGTTTGTTGGAACCTGTAGCATTGTAACAAGAGTTTCTAGTTCACAGCTGCAATGCCAGGGATTGTCATAGAGACGTAGGTAGTTTAGACTGGGTGTATAAATAAAAATCTCCTCAGATAAAGTCTTAATTTGGTTATGCTGAAGTAGGAGTGTGGTAAGTTTATCCAAACCATAAAAAGCCTCGGTCTCAATTTTTGATATGTCATTCTGTTGTAAATCCAGACTTTTCAGTGCTTTATACTTGGAAAACATATTATTCTTTAATTTACGAATTCTGTTTCTTGCTAGCAGCATGTGTTTTATATCCTCTGGCCAATCAGGTGCCACAAAAACCAATTTTCTTTCCTGACAATCTAAGTATTTCTCATGAAGATAAGTGTAAATATCACATGTTAGACCTTGGGCATTGCGCTTAACAGTGCTAGATGCTCTCCTTAAGATGTTTTCCCTTTCATTGTTTCTCAAACTCCTATTCCTTGTCCTCCTACAGTCAGATGCATTACAAAGAAGAAGTAGTAATATAATAGTAACTACTTGCATCCTGACATTCAGCTGGTCCCAGTTCTTTTCTGTGACAGCTGGAACAGTTGAAATTTTTGGATAGACTGAATCAGTGTTGTACAGATCTGAGGAGTCACAGCTGGGGTATGTAGGATCCCTGTGTTGGAAGAAAAATAAAATATTAGAACACATGAAAGGGCATTTCCATGGAGGATTGTATATAATATGCAGTCAAGTACTCGATCATCACGCTACTTGGAACTTCACAAATATTTTGAAGATTTGTCTTACCTCTTTTTGTTTGTTTGTTAGTTTTTACTGACTCTGGTTTACTCTTTTTCATTATAATTAAACATGGGAAACTATATGGAACAATTTCTCACTGATCTTTGTTAGGAGATTCTCATGTGTTCAGGAAAACAGCATCAGGCTGGATCTTTTTGTATTTAAATTAATCTTGGAAGATGAGCTCAAATGAAGAGTTAGAATCTGGTCTTTTCCAACTTCCTCAGTGCTCATGTACAGAGCCAGACCAGGGAAAGCCATCCAGTGCCCATCAGACTCCCAGTTTTAGTTTGTGCACAAGGGTGGACTTTTTCCAAGTAATTTTCTCAGGACTGTTTACCCCAATTTTTGAGGTTTTGTGCTTTCATCTCAGTAAACTGCTGTGGCTATGGTTCAGGATATTGACCCAGATAGATTGAACCTACGTGAGGAGTTCTTACATTTATGTCATATACTGAGACTTTGAACTGTTTGCCTATAATATGATAGTTTTTTGGCTTGGTTGTTTTTTTTGTGATGGTGGTGGGTTTTTCGGTTTGTTTTTAAAGTTTGTTTTGGGTTTGGAATTTGTTGTTTTGTTTTAAGTGTTTTAGGTGAATTAAAAAATTTGCAAGACCTAAATATCTGTGAATGCCAGGGATGCAATATAAGAACTACAAACTATTTCTACAAACTCTAATTTATACCAAGAAGAAAGATTTTATCAATTGCTGTGGCTATTTGTGTTACAAATCTTCCTGATAAAAAGTAGAGATTTGTGTTCTTAACTACTTTGAAAATGGAGTTTAGTAGAATTCAGAGATAATATGTGAAGTTCTCATTGGTTTTGTACAGTACCAGGACAAAATGATACATTCAATCTCAATTAATTTTGATAAACAGGCTTCAAAACTTCAGCAGTCTGGGAGGAGGGTTTTGTTGTTATTATAAGCTTGGAGTTGTCAACAATACATTTTAATCCTGTATTGTTTACAATTTTCTTTATTCCTTCAGTAGCCATTTGGGCTCTAAAAATGTCTCACTAAATTTCTTGATATTTTAAATTTGAAAAGTGTCTAAGAATGCAGTCACCATTGTGTATTTGTCCATTTTTTCCTTAGTTTAACATTTTTAATTTTATCTTGATTCCATTAATGATTTTCATTGCTCTTCCTTGATGGAGAAACAATGTTTGACTTTGTTTTAATTAATAATTTCTTAGAAAAGGGAATTTTTATTATACAGGCAAATATTTCTAATAATTAATCAATCTAAGAATAACATTATTATTTTGTTCAGAAATTATGCTTCTCAATATATTCATGCATTTATAGGCTATTTCTAGAGTTAAGTATATAAAAAATAATTCTGTATCATTTGTAGTCACTTTTAAGTGAAGTATACATCCAGTGTTCTTGCCCAGAAACACCAATATTTACATGCAAGCTTTTGAAAATTACCATAGGTAAAATACAGCCTAAGAAGTTAAAACAAAAATGGTTTAAGACAGTCAAGTTAGTTATGCAAGGGCTGCTTTTCTCCCCTTATCAATAGATCTAGTAATTTCATCATAGAAAACTATCAAATTATGAGAAATATTTTGCCCATGATAGATTCATTCTGGCTGTTCACTGTCACTTTTTCATCCTTTATGTGCTTGGACAGGGTTTCGTGGAGGATTTGCTACATAACCTCCCCAGGGACTCAAGTGGAGCTGACTGGCCTGCAGTTTCTTGGACCTTCTTCAGTTTCCTGAAAATGGATGTGACATTTCCCATCTTCCAGTCATTAGAAATCTCCTCTGACTGTCATGACCTTTCAAAAATGAGTGAGGCCTCTCAATGACAAGAGACAGCTTTCTTCCTCTTGGATGCACCCTGTCTCATCCCATTTTCTCAGGTGCTCCCTGACATTAACTTCTTCTATGATGTGTATTCCTTTACTCTCACAGACTCTGCTCACAGGCTCCAGCCAAGCACCTGGGAAGCCTCCAATAAACCTTAGCTGTAAGAACTGAGGATAAAAAGTAATGAAGTAACTTGTCCTTGAAGATTAACCAATTCTCTTGGGCCCCTTTACCCTCCAGGGCTGTCTACTATGAGATCCTGTTAAACAGATCCCTAAACTAGCCAAAATCTGCTAACAAATTCAGCTTTTTTTCTTCTACAGTTTGGCCAGTTTTCTTCTGTCTGGATTTTTAACTTCTCATTTTCTCATTTCCATGGGTGCAGTAACCAAAGCCATTCAAGTTCATTCAAACTGATATTCACTCAAGCTCACATTCCTTCATCTGTTGAAGAGCACATTCCTTAGACTACTTGTTAGCCAGCTGGATCAAGAAATTTTCTTCAACACACTCTAAAAGTCTCCTGGATATTTGCTGTCAGCATACAGGAGTGGCTAAAGTCTCTCATGAGTAACCAGCATAGGCAAGAGTAAAGCTTCCTTCAGCTGCCCAAAGGTTTCATCCACCATCCCATCTTGATCAAGCAGATCAAGCAGTCTGCAGCAGTTCCCTACCACAATGTAATGCTCATAGGTCTGGCTTCTAATCATTACAAATAAGCTCTTGGTTGACTTGTCACCCATTTCAATGCAAAGCCCCATGCCTTCAGGCATGATTTTGCATAGAGTGCAGCCCATCCTGACCTTTCTGGGCTGTCATTCCGAAATATTCTGGAACTTTTCATGGTACCCCTTCAGTTGCATGTGCTATCTCTGCATTTCTGGAGTCCCAGTGCAATCACAGATCTCTACCTCCTGTGTCACAGCTCCTGTGTGTGGACTTCGGTCCCTGCTGGTTGATTCCCAAGCTACAAGAGTTTCTGTTCAGACACTTAAAATAGACCCCTTTGTGCTGCTTTTGCATGGCAGGTTTCAGAGATTTTCCTCATCACCATTGCCCCCAGCTTTCTCACCACCCCCTGTGCTTTCACTCCTTTCCAGGTTATGGTTGTCTTCCATCTACATACCTATTTATCCTGATATATCTCCTCTCTCAAATTCTTTGTTGCAAGAATATATTTCAAAAGCACAAACGTTCCTCTTTAGGATAGGTTGGTATTGAATTTCCAGTTATCTGGATGGTCCTTTTGCCTAATAACTGAAATAGGGAAAAGGTGATCACAACATGGAAAAAGACACAGGCTCAACTACTACATTTTCATGTACATGTACTTTTTGCCTTTGCATTATATTGACATTTATTGTGAAAATTTGATCATACTAGGATATTTGTTCCCTTTATATAAGAATGGAACAATATGAGTAGTACCTGTTCTGCAGGTCAATAAAATATGGAAGCCTTATAATTACTCAAGGTAATGTTCCACCTAGAAGGCAGAACTAAACAGGAAGGGTTGTGTAAATGATATTATATTAAATTATATTACTTGCTAGAGAAATTTACCAGAGTTAATGGAGAAAATTCACCAATGGTTTTAGATACCAGGACAGGCTACCAGTAATCTTGGTTTAGCAAAACGTGTTAACGTGTGCTAACCTTCAATCATGTGATTAGTCCATTGTGCTCTGTAGGACTGTATCCTTTAAATACATGTCTATAAATGTAGGTATCCTTTAAAATGATAAAATGACCATACTTAGTAATAGTAGCATCACACCTCTCAGTATTCTACTTTGAGGCTACCCAAAATAATGGCTGAGATGTACAGAAAGTATTATGACAATTTAAAGATACTTACTCAGGTTTTTTCCCATATACATGTACATACAAATATAATTTAATATACTTCTGGGTAGTATTTTAATTATTTAGCCTGTTTAAATCTATTTAAATCTGTCATATAGAGATAGTACTAATGGAACTCTACGACTATTGACAAGGTAAATTAAAAAGAAATATGAAAGTGGTTTTTTTTTTAATCTTGCAGGAAATTTAGAGGTACATGTAATAGAAATACTCTTTTTTGAGTTATTTGTAGGATTCTTTCTGCTATAATTATAATCTGTTTTTTTTACATGTTGGCTTTTTACATTTCCATATATTTATGCTGAAGTTTGGAACATCATTTTTTGATGTGTAAATAACAAAGAAAAATTCACCACTGACAAAAGACCTTTTGCAGTTATCCTGTACCTTGTTAATAGGAAATTTTCCCAGTCACACATGATGCTTCAGATTTAAAACCATAAGATTACACTTTTTGTATTGATTACTTTTAGACAAAAAAAGCAAAGCTCATTGTTTCTGAGATTATGGGGATGTATGAAAGCTGCTGTTATGTGGAGAATTTGATAGCAGACAGATTTCATTAACATTTCACATGGCAATCCCAAAAGCATTAGCTCAGCACAGGTCCTGTGTACTATGGTAACTAACACAAAGTGCTTAGAGGTGGCAGTATTGCATTTCATAATGCTACATGTGAAGTTTGCTGTGGTGTATCAGACATCCTTTATTGGAACAAGGAGCTAGTGAAGTGTAGGGGTCATTTTTTTATTCTCTCATACTATTCCATACAATTTTAGCATTTTAGCCTCCATATTGCACAACAGAGATAATCACTTAAAATTTCCCTCTGAAAACCTCTGTCACATATGGTAGCATGAACACTGTCCATCAGGAATAAATGTCAGAAGGTGAGTTTGTCAGATTGCTTCAAAACAATGTTTGTGAGACTGCAAATGTTAAAATTAATTGAAAAACTGGTATGACAGAATTCCTGCAGAATTTAGCTCTAACACAAAACAAAAAGTATTTTTGGTAGTCTGTGTGATCCTTGAGTTTTAAGGAAGATATCACTTTAAAAGTGGAAAAGGAAAGCATGTGTTAAAATTCTCAGATCATTGAAAATTGGTCATATAACCAATAAGGGAAATCAGTATCTCTTCAAAGTTATTGTGAGGTTTTGATCATAGTTTTCAAAATGCAGTAAGAAAGGCTCACCTGTATCTTAAATTGTGCAGCCTTGCAGCAACATATACATTAAAAAGACTCAGAGCTACCAGAGTATTTACCTCAGTCTCTCAAATTATTATCTATTTTATAGATGTATTTGGAAGTATACTTCTCCAAGTTTTATTTTTCCCCACTCATTTCTGTGGGATGTTGCACTAAAATGCAAAATAGCTCAGCCTTCTACAAAGAAGGATACTTTTACTTTTGTACTTAATATGAATTAAATATTTCCATGTCAAAAAAAGGGCACCACAAATAACACATGCCTTTGTATTCTAATATCTGGTTCTAATGAACATTGCTGGGTTTTTTTCATGAAATGTAATCTTATATTCACTTTCTTCATATTTTTGTACTTTTTTTTTTTTACAAGGGCATTTTTTAACACTTCCTCTTTGCATTTGTGTCCAGCATGTTCCCCTACTCTGTATTGAAAGCATAAAGTCAATTCCAAAAGTCAGTATGCCACTCCTTAAGCAGTCAGCTCCTCAGTGGGAGTTCCCTTCTTCTTCAAAATGCCTCATTTTGCTGACTTGCAGAACTGCATGACTACGACTAAATGTCTACCAGAGCAGAAGGTCCTAATTCTAGGTTTTGATTTTCTGTATGCTTTCATTTGTGGTGCTTGTGGTAATTGTTATTTTTTCTAGTTTGAAATGTCATTCAGTCAAATGAACAGTTTACAGTATGATATAAACCTGCAGATGGAAATTTAAATAATTTCAGAGTATAGATTCTTGATTTTACAGAGTGCTGTTGATTAACATTTTCCACTTACACAATTTGCTTTCTCTTAACTAATATTTAGTATAAAGAAATGTTTTCCAAAGAACTGATCAAAAATTTAAATTACATTACTTTTTTTTGTAACTCTTTCAATTTTTCAGATTCTTTTAATAGTACTCTTCTAAATAATTATATTATTTGAGAAGTTTAAACTACACATTCCTGCTTTTAATATCTTTTGATAGAGATCTGGTTGTCATTTCCAGCAGGCACTGCTTGTAATATCAATGGCAAAAACAGTCCAACAAACTTACACTGAAAAGTCATACTTGTGAAGTATGCCCAAAGAAGTTCCAGTTAGTTTAAAAAGTATGCTTTTGCAGTTGCTTAAGATAATTTTACGATGTTACTGGTTTCATATGATGAAATATCTTGCATGATAGTGCTATTCCCCACTAATTTGCAATACAAGAGCAGAGAAAAAACTGCAGCCGAAGAAATGGACTTTCAAACTTCAGCAAGCAGATAATTGTATTTCATACTGAACATATTTTCTTTACAGTAATTTTCAGAAAACTTTAACTGCAACATTTTATGTTCTTTTGATTCTTTATCGTGCCCTTGTAACAAATTGCTCTGTTGTTTTTTGTGGGTTTTTTTGCAAAGCTTCCCCAGTTTACAGTAAATGAGTTTGGCTCACTGCAGAAAATTCTAAGACAAAGGTTTACCATACCTGGACTCTTGAAAAGGCTGTCACAAGATCATCTGTTTGGAAATTCCAGGTTGCATTCAGGTTTGTAGTTCACGTCTTTCTTTCATAATGTGAAGCAGAGGATCCTTTATATGACTGGCAGCATCCTGCATTCATGGTATACTGAGGCTGAGCAAGCACTGCAGCAGCCTTCCAGGGTTTTGAATTACATGACTACAGCTGTTTAAGTTTTACTGAGGAATAATAGCACTATAGGTTGGGATCACTTCCAGCAAACTGTCAGATCTATAAACAGCTAGTACTTACTGCATAATGAGAACAAGGCTTGCTTTTTGTAGCCAGAAATAGACTAATTTTATGTCATGATTAGTTGGGGGTTTATATCTGGAGTTTTAAAAATGCAGTTTATACTAAGATACCAAAAAAATAAAAGCCACCCTGTGCTGGAAAAAAAATGCAAATTTACAGTTGATTTCCTGAGAAGGAAGTTAATTAAAAAGTGAACTCTTGTTGCAGCTTTACATTGGTTTAATATATAAATTAAAGTTGTATTTATAACTGCAATCTAAAAATAGTTATGTTTTGGATTACTTTGGTATCCTACTAAACTTGTAAACAAAACAAAGGTTTTAGAATGCAGTACTATTTTAGAAACTTTCAAATATATACTGTATCTTGAAACATATTCCAAAAGCAATATGAAATGCCAAATTGTAAGACAATGAAAGTCTACTAATGTTTAAGTAAAGACTCACGCATAAATTTCTTTATAAATTGAAAAGATTCTCCATATAACAAAGTACATGTGAAATGTTAGAGAGACTGAGTCTGAGAAATGTAACAGTTTCACTTTCCATCTAACAAAACCTGTTCAGAACAAAGGATGAGGCAGATGGGGCAAAAGTCCTGTTCTGATTACTCTTTACCAAGTGTCTGTTTCTTGTTCATGAAAATCATTGTTGTGCAGTGACAGGGTGAAGTTTGAAATGAGGGCTGAGGTTAGAGGAAAGTTAAGAACTACCTACCTCTGAGTAATTTTTCAAAATGCCAGTAATTTGTTCTGTTTTCTGAAAGCATCATCCCTGCTTGTTTAGAAGTGTCATCATGAGCTGTAGGGATCTGCCTCTAGGAAGCATGATCTAATAGTGCTCAGGGAGAAGTGATCATCACCAAATGGGGAAAACCACAATCCTCCCCTACTAGAGGACACTGGGTTTGCTTGCCAGTGTATTTGAGAGCCCTGAAAGGAATTCCCCAGCTTTCTCCATTTTTGGATTCTGGAACAGTGCTTAGTGGTTATGACCAAGTACTTAAGTGAACAGTAAAAACCAAAAAAAACCATCACAGTTGGATAAAAGTTGCATCATAGTTGGATAAAAGATTTTAAAAATATTTTCTTTGCCCTCACTGGATAAACTAAACCAAAGGGAGATTTTGTAAGGCTAACATTTCAAATTAATTGGAAAACTGTAGAGGAGTTATACTATTAACATTGAAATTATGCTTAAAATATTCTATAGAAGGTATATTTTAAATTTTTAAAATTTTTAAATTTTTCTTTTATTTAAACATACCAGTTCTTTTTATATGAGTTTTATTGCCACTACTTCTGTAGGATTTGAATGGTTAATTAGAAAGCCCAGCTGTAAAATGTGTGATTATGTTAACAATTGTGTGAGTAGCAACTTAAGGACCAAGGCATTTAATTATCTCATTAAAACAGAGGCAGAAAAGTGAGACTTAAGCAGACATTTTCTAGTCCACTGCTACAAAATAGGGCAATCTTTTCTTCGACTATTATGTTCATACATGATAATAATACTGGATAAATTTGTAGGCATGGGGTTTTTTGCATAAAGTCATGGTAATTAAGATTTTATCCATATGGCACAGGTAGTAAATATTTTTGTTGATGAACTTCTACATATTTTCATAAAAATATAGAGATTCTCTTGTGCCTTGTTCAAAAGGTATCCTATAATACCACTGACATTCTTAGAGCCCCACCTAGAAAGCATAAGATCTGTTTGTTCTCCTTCTGAAGCTGAACAGCGTTGGTGGAAAATTTTCTGCTATTAGACACAAAACTGGAAAGACCTGAGGGTATAAAGCAATTGCATGTCATGCCCAAAATGTGTTACAGCAGTCTGTCACTTGCTGTAAGGTTACAACAGCTGAATAAGAGAACACAAACCACTGGAAAACATTAATTTGTCCCTTTCTTTCTTGACATCTGCTTTGCAGGGGTGTCAGAGAAGCCTACATGTAGACTTCACCAGTTTTCAACATCTGTGTTCCTCCTGCTCTGGCTTCATTGGGAGAATTCTCATTTTGGCAAATTCTGGCTTCTTAGATGTATCAAGCCACAGAAAAGGAGCCATCACTTGGGGAACAAATCTGATCCATATTCTTTATTTATTGAAGAGGACAATGATTGTTTATATTTCCTGAATACAAACTTGTTTAACTGAAGAATACCGTAAGTTACAAATGCTCTGTTATTTATTTTAGGAAAATGTTAATTCAGGAATATGTTAAGCGCTTTTATTTGGGCAGTGGAAAACTAAAAGAAAAATAGCATGTGGAGTCGAGCCATCAGTGTAATGTGCCAAACATCTGAAAGGATGTCACAATTCATTTTATGAGTCTTGACAAATACAGGATACAAAAAAGATAGTCCCATGTGCCCCAGAGAGTACTTCCTCAATTCTTAATGTTGATTTTCAAATTTCTATCCTCAGTGTATTGCCAATACTGGAATCACAAGAGTGTTTCTTCAAAATCCCTTCTGTGCTGTAGACAGAGTTCTGCCTTGCAGGCTGGATTCCACAAATCCAATCAGTTCTGGGAGAAAGACAGAATTGTAAAGTAGTGTATGTGTAGCAAAAAAGCCAAACCTGAATAAGAAATCTGTGTATCCCTATTCTTCAGAATAAGAAACTATAGAAAGGATAAACAAAGTGAACTTTGATATTCTTATAAGCATTTCATCATTTCACTGCAATTATTTTCTAAATCCATGGGGACAGAGCTTTAGCTATGATTTGCTCCATGTTTTTTTGTTGTACTTTCATTTCAGATCATAGTATACTATTATGCAATCAAGAAAAAACCCAAGACAGTCATTTACATATTAGACTGAAAACTCCTACAGAAAAGGAGTTATATTTTACTTGTTTACCTCATTTTTTTACATTTATATTTTATTTTTGCATTCACTTCTGATCTGTATATGCGAGAAAAAATAAGACATTTATAGAATGATTTTTCTGAGTTAGTCTATTTTGCAGAATTTTGTAGGATCAAAGATTCAATAACCTCAATATTCTTCCTCACAATTGGTTTGAAAGATGAGATTTAAGTAGGATTTTACTCATCTGGGGCAAAGAATACAGTATGAAACTCCATATGTATCCTAACATTGATTCTCAAATCAAAAATTCTAAATACTGAAATTCCAAGTGAGCTGAGAAAGCAATTGTTTTACTAAAATGTGCAAGAAATTTCACATTTCTATACCTTATATTTGAGAGTGCTTGAAGTTTCTTAGCTAATCCATAGAGGACTTAGAAAAGAAGTTTAAGATTTTATTGTTCTAGAAATAAAGGAAAGAGAAATACATATGATTGCAGAAAGATCTAAATATTGATTAATTTTCTTTAATCTTATCTGAATGCTATATTTCATACTGGAACTTTCTCAACTTGATGCCTGAAATCCATTATCCAGTTTCAAGTAAAAAACCAGTTCAAGTGAAAAAGAAATTAGAAATTATCTGTGCAGTGGTATTATTATTAACTGCTTCCCTATAATTTGGTTTGGCTTGCACGGAGGAGAGCACTAGATTTCTTCTAGTTGTGGTATCAAATGTCTATGTTAAGCAAACAGTGGTTTTCCAGACAGAGATTAAAAGTCCTTTAGGCTGCATTTAACATTATGCAATCCTTACTGAATTCCAGAAAAAGGCATGCTATTTCTGCCAGGATTGCTGAGTTTGATCTGATTACCTGCTACCCACCATCTCTTCTTCTGAGAATGGGAATTTCACTTTATTTTAGGCATCCAAGATAAGGTAGTACCTAAAAAATTACTTGAATATATCTATATAGAAATTAGAGAGTGGGAGAGGTCTCCAGAGGTGACTTAGATCTGTCTTGGGATCTTTGTTGCTCTTTATATACAGAGATCATCAGGATTCATATTTTTCTGTTGTTGTGCTTCTTGAGAGCCAACAAGCAAGAGGCCTGTTGCAGAGTTAGGTAAACTCTTGCTTGAATGACTTGGTCATGCCATGTTAAAGCAATTGGTGCTTCTTAACCAGCAGTTAGATTTCCCAATACATCCCTCAGATATTCATCATTAAGCTAATCCCTTTCATGCATACTGAATATTTTGGGGTGAGGAAACGAGACAGGATTATGTCACGTTGCATATACCAATAGAGAGTACAAAACTAGAATCTGGACAACTGAGTTTCATATTCTGTCCTGAGAATTAGCACACATCTGTCCCTACTGACATTTATCTTCTGATTATGGCTACCAGTAGAAAAGAGGGTTGATTGACTTTGCCATAGTAGCCCTACACTGCACCTGGTTGTTTTGCAATCATTTGGGGTGGGCAAATCCAATCTATCCATACTGATGGTGAGGTCTGCAGTACTATCTGCAGATCCTCACTGATGTGTTGCCCACATCAACCATATTCCCAAAGCCACAGCGTCCCTTTGTCCAACAGACACACCTCAGTTGAATGTGGTATAAGAGCCTGGAGTGCACCAACAGGCAGTACATGCTCTAAACAGCTTGTTATGGTCCTTTCTTTATAATTCCTCTCTGCCACCTCCCCTGCAGCCTCACAAGATTCTGCTCTTTTTCCTCCTTCATCTGCTTCTTAGACTATGGCTGTTCCTGGAGAAGCCTGATCCAGGATACCATACCTGCACCATATCAGACCCCACCTTGAACACAGCCAGCAGTCAGAGGCATGGGACTTGGTGGGATTTATATCACCATGCATTACCAGTAAAATATTTCCTCCATTTATTTTGATGGTAGGGTCTTCATTCTGTCATTTTGCAGGCTTACAGATCCATTGTAGAAAGACAAATGTGCTACACCTGTCCTGAATTCAAAACACAGTAGATTTGCATCCACAGTGCTAAAAGTTCCAGTGTATGTTATGAGCCACACCATATTGTCTGTCTGTATGTGAGATATGCACAAACACTTTAAGAATACATTTGACAGACATTAAACCAGTTTCCCTCTGGGATGGCATCCCTCTGCGCAAGGGAAAATGTGCAAAGAGTACCACAGTCCTCTGAGAAAAGACATTTAACATCAAAGCATTTAAAACAATTGACAAAGAATCTGCTTAAAAGGCCACTTCAGCCTGAAAATAAAGAGCAAGCCAACCTGGGCATAAGTTAGAAGATGAGGCATTATGCCAGAAAGGAAAAGACAGTCTGTCTTGAATATAACTTAAAGTCATTTACTCCATTAAAAAACATCCCACATGCAAAAGGAACCCAAACACTAAATTTTCAGAAAGAAGAGCCAGAAACCAAGGTGTGAATCTCCTCACTCAATGTAAGATAGAAGTAAAGCAGGCTTGATTCTAGTTTCCACTGATAAGTAGTAGTGGGGACCAGTCATGTGCTACAAATGCTGGAGAATAAAAGTGCAAGAACTGGGAGTACCTCCTGGTGGATTGTTACCATGCTGAGGTGTGATGGGTGATCAGCTGCTGCTCAGTTTCTGGCTTGCTCTTCTGTGACCACCTCCTGTCTCCTAATGGTGTCCACTGATAAATCCACAAGATTTATACTCTAAGCAAAGCCTGTGCCTTACACTGCTGCTCCCCTTAGGCAAGGTAGCCAAGAACATCAGGCTTCTGCAGCAGCTGGAGAGGTGGGGCACAGCAAAAAAATCCCAGTCTATTTATGTTACAAGATTCCTTCTTTGGATTCTTCCCTCCACAGGCCTTATTTGGTACCCAGGAGGGCATGCCAGACTACTTTTGTTCTGTGGGTGTTTTGCAAATGAATTCCTGGGGCTGTAGTTTGAGCTGCACAGAGTTAGTATAGAATCATACAATCATTAAGGTTGGAAAAGGTCTCTAAGGTCCCCAGGTCCAACCATCAACTGTTACATTACACAGCTTCAAAACCCTGGAAAACTGAGAGATCTCTACATGCAAATATCAGGGGGACTACTTCGTGGGGAGAAATTGTTCACATCTGTGTTTTCTGTAAGAGCTAAAAAGGAACTGTCATTTGCACAGCATTTATATGTCAAAAGAAACACTTTGTATGCCCAAGAGTGAATGGACATCTATTGAATTTAAGCAGTTAAAAAATTGTCTCCCTGGAGTGATAAAAGGAATACACTGAATTGACAGATCCATCAGCCCATTTGTAATTTCATTGAATGTTGCACTGTTAGAGTAGGCAGAGCTGTTGTTGTGGTCCTGCATGAAGGATTCTGTAGAAGAGCTCAATATTATTGTGACTGCAGAGGACTTTTACTTGTACCCCCTCTGAATCTCAGACACATTTTACTGTGGATCTGGAAAGAAACAATGAAGATATTTTGTTACATTCAGAACTTGCTTCAAACTGAATTTCAACATCTACCATAGGTGAATAAACCATAAGGTTGGGAAAACAAAGGTAGAATAATGAGACAGTAACATTCATTGCCACTTCCATAAATGGTGTCAGCTGTAGAAAATTTTGAACCTGGCTCTTCCATGGTTAGAGGACACATTTTTTTAACAGATCCCTTAGAATATGTTCAAAATTCAGAGTAATATGTATACCTCATGGAGCTGTTTTTCTTTTAGGAAGATTCATGCATTTCTTGTTTTAGTGAGCATCTAGGTGCCTATGGTAAGATGTTAAAGCATTAAGAAGACCTCAAGCTTTTCCTATACTGTTTTTGTTAGGCTTGTTAAGACATAAACATTTAATTTCTTGTGTAAATTTGAGCTATGTCTTCAGAAATACTGCCAATGGATGCAACTGGATTAAAGATCTGCTAATCAGCAAAATGTTAACTCTTATAGACAGATGTATTTAAGTTAGAAACTGAAAATAAACTGTACTTTTTGAGAAACTTTAAGATGTTAGAACTGAGTTATCCTCTCAAATGACTTAAAAGAAGTAAGAATCAATTCAAGAGGAGAAGTTCTAAGCAAATGAACTTTTTACAACTATTGTCTAATTCTGCTTATAAATCTTGCTCACTTGCAATCACTGTCAGAAAACTTCAGTTGTCTTCTCTTCTTTTTTCATTGGTATGTTTGAATTATGGTCTTCCAGTTTACAAATGAGAGGATTTACTTTCTTTCAGTGGTAAAGCAACTATATTATATGGGAACAGCATTCTGCTACTGATTTTGCCCATCAAAAAAGAACTTCCAGGCTTCTGCAAAAGTGATTGTTAACTATATCACTGTCTCTAGTATTTGCCATACTTCATGTCTCCAGGTAATTGCTTCTTTTCCTTGTGCTGCCAAACAAAATAACCATATGGGGAATTTCAGTGGTTTATGTACCACTCACTTTCTGGAAGCTACTGTTACATGGATTATAACTATTTGTTTGAAATGGTAACTTTTTGGTACTATATGGAGAATATTGCTGATCTTTTTTTTAATGTGTCAGTGTTTTATTTCACCTTTTTTCTTCAAAGGCTCTGGTTGAAAAGGTAATGTCTGTTGTCTTTCTTGACTCTCCAAAACTTTTAAAACTCTTGCAGAATGTAAACTTTTCAAAGTCAGCAATAAAGGATAGTGTAATGATCAAAAAAATAATTAGGATTATGTATTTTTACAGTTCATTCAGATAATTTGTAATAAATCTTTCAGCTGATTTCAGTGGGTATTTGTGTATGTCAGATGTGTAACTTGCATCTTAAATATTTCAACAGGGAATAACCAAAATACTGATTTAAGTTTCAAGCTGATGAGTAAATGCTGCCTATATATCTGGCACATTCATATGGCTGATTGCCAGAAGATAACAGAAGCTGGTGTTGAGATGATTTCACCATTGAAGCATATTTTTGTACTGAATATGGCAGACTGCACAAGGTACTAGATCACATCAGATTTCTGCAACCATTTCAAAGGGATTGTAATAAAGTTAATTTAATTTTTAATAAGTCCTGTTAACACATCTTTCAGTTTTAAAAATAAATTTTTAGAATCTAAGTATAGATATCTTAATATTTTGAAAAATATTTTATACATATAGTTTTTGTTCCTGTATCATGTTTTCAAAAATCCATTCATTGGTACTTCAGTTCAAGAAAAATAAAATTAACTGTTGATGTAGTGTCACTTAATAGCCATGGCATATTATACTGCTGGAATGTGGCTATGAAGAAGAATATGACAACCAAAGACAATTGTCACAATTCCATTGTCACAATTCTTTTGAATCTTGGATATTAATTAATTTTGTGAATATTGAAGTAATATTTTATTACTGTTGAATAATAATAAATAAATAAAATTGACAATTTTTTACAATTATCAAGAAAACATGGTAACGTATATAGAGGAAGAATATATTTTCTAGAAACAAAGAGAAATGGAAGGAGTTCCAAAGCTGCCATTTGATCCCTGTTTTGTGATAGAGTCAAGGGCGAGAGAGAACAGTGAAGGAAAAGCTTACAAATATTTCAAAATTAAAAGACCTATAAAATAATACAAAGACATTGGAATTGCTGTTAATCCTAAAGTTTCTGACATCATGAGAACTTTTAGGAATTCTGCTTTCAAATATAACAAAAGCTTTTTTTGTGCCTATAGGCATATAAAAATCTGATAATATTGCCTGTAGGAGCATTGAAAAGTGCTGGAACAATACCACATCATCTTGTTGGTAGTTTAGCTGGGCAGGTGGGACAGCTGCCTGCATTTTCTGGTTTAACATTTAGCAGGCTGGGTTTTCCAGTCTGTCAGCCAAATCATGGGCTGAGAATGTGTTTGCACGTGTCTACTGCTTCTACTGCTAAAGAATAGCTGGATTATCCTAACAAAATTTTTTAAGCACTAGTAAGGGTATTGTAGAAACCCACTGTTATTTTATTGCTTTTCCAGACACTTTCAAATGTTTCAGCATTGTCTTGAATATTTGAAAAAGTTATAATGTGGCCATTTCAGCTCTCAAACTCAGTGTGGTTACAGAATATTAACCTCTTAAATTCAGTTGACTTGGTTGCCAGGCTCAGCATTCCTTATGGACTTTATGATAGTTATTCTGAGGTTGCATTTCTTAAATTTATCTGTCCTCTTGAATGAAAACCAATTGCACTGTGAAACAACACCCAAACTGTCACAGTGGTTGAATTATTGCAGGGTGATTTTATGAATTCTAGCTTCTACTGTAGCTTGTGGTCACACAATGAGGCCTTGTTCAGGTTATCAGTTTATGAGTAGTGCTGGGACTTTGGGATTTGCAGTGATTCTTTGTGTTGCAAAAAACTGTACAAGCCAAAATATGATTCTGTCCTACAGAATTCTGGGATTAATTTTTTATTCATCAGGGAACACAAAAGAAATGCTGGAGATGCATTGAGAAGCTAATTATGCAGTAATGTTAAACATACCAGAGGTCTGAACTGTATTGAAACATCCAAGCTGTATTCAGGTCTACACATCTCTCAATTTGGCTGAAAGCTTTTCTGTCTACTTCATTTTTATAACCTCTGTGTATGTTATAAGTTAGCTATGTGCTAGTTATGCAATTGATTAGGTGAAACACTCTGAGGAAGGATTCAGGTTAACTCTTCATGCAGGGTACAGAATTGCACACAAATGCTAATGGTGACTTTTGTTACTGCTGTGCTAGAAGATCATTTTTCCTTAAAATTATTTCAGTTGCTTAAATTAAAAAAATATGTTAGTACAAATATTACTCTGAAATGTTTAATCAGGTTCTGATTCTTCCTAGATTTGTTTCCCAAGCTCTGTCATTTGGAGTGGTGATCATTTCTGAGTGCTGGAACTAATGGAGGTTCTCACTATCTCCAACAGACTTTATTTCAGAAAGCTTAGTTTTTCAGCCATTCCAAAGAGCAGCATCTTTCTAATTAAGCAATTAATTATACTGACTCTTTTGGGGGTTTAAAGGTCTAGTTTAAAAATACCATCATTAATTTTTGCTTATCTTCAATGTTGGCTGCTGAATGCAAATTGTGTATTGACTTGTACAGATTAGGAAAGGTAGTGATTATAAATATTGCCTACATTTCTCTTTTAGGGTCAATGAATGAGTGTAAGTGTAAGGCCATTTGTACAAGGTTCTTCAGGAGCTAAGCTAAGAGAGCTGAGTGTTAGCTCCAACAGAGGCACTGCTCTCCATTGTGGTCTAGAAAACAATTGCCAATGAAAGAATTACTAACGAGGTATCTTCAATATGTCAATCAAGCTGCTAAAACTGGAAAGAAAAAAAAAAAGAAAAAAAAAGAAAAAAAGCACTGAGTGGAGTCAGGTTCTGGCAGGTCCTGCCTCGTGAAAGCTGTTACTTTTACTTTTGGGACAAACTCTTTGCTCTGAACACAGAAATCTTGGAGAATCCTTGTCAAGAAAACTTTCCATAGTCTATTCACTCAGTCACTGTCCAAACACAACTCTGACTAAGAACTTCATTGTTTGGCTCTAACAAAGTGTGTGCAAAAAATAATTAGAATGTAAAACAAATATTATTATGCCTGTATCTTTTATGGAGGCCAGAAATTAATAAAAAACTTAAGCTAAATAAAGAGAGTTAGGGAATCCAAGAAGACTTCACTTAATGTGCTCATTTAAAATATCACAAAATTATATCTGAATGAAATGTATGCTGCCTTGAATTTAGTCCCACAATGCTACAACAAAAATGTTTTCTTTCTCCTTGCCTGCCACAGCTAGCCTTTTAAAATGCTGTGTTTCTTCTTACTCTAGTTTTCACACAGCACAACCCATGACCTTGGCAACAAACCAAGCTTTTTTGCTTACACTGCGTTGCTAAGGCTTGCAGTTTTCTTTCCCCCACAAGACAGATAAACTCAGCATTTTAAGTTTTGTAATTTCTGAGTGCTATAGTAGGAAAACACCTATGGCTTTAGCTGTTTCTGTATTTAAGCATGTAAAAGTCATGCACATATAAAATAAATACATTAAATATTAAATACATTTCTTAGTCTTAAAACATTACTTGATAAAAGAAAACGCATCAGTCTGCCCTGTAACAAGCTACTATTTCTGTGCTTTGACTTTATATTATACATTTTATTAGCATATGGAGGAAGTCATACTATGATCTCTGTCAACTTAAGCTAAGTATTGGTTTAAAAATGCAACAGAGAGCATCGTGTTTCATGTACAGTAATCAACACTCATATGGTGTGTTAAATAAAGAAAAATTGTAAAGCTGTGCTTTCCAGCAGTTTGTGCTGTGGATCTCCCTTGCTTTTCCTGTCATGCTGATTAGTGTTTAAAACTTAGAAGGTGCAACTTAGATTTGCACTACATAAGAGAATTTTCCTTTCTGTTTTTTTCAAATGACAGTAGAATCCTTCAGCCCTTCAAAGCAGAGCAGAATTTCTTGCAATAAGGATTGACTATACTTAAGGGAAACATAGTGGAGAAAAGATACAATCGAGCCATATTTTCTTATATATTTGTGTCTCAGGTATGACAGACTTAATCGAAATGGAAGTTTTCCCCTCTGTGTTGGTGCCTTTCTCTTCTGTTGCTTCTTCAAACATAGACATTAAAAGTCTCGTGTTTGGAGAAGTGCATTATACTTATCCTGAGCCTACTTCTCAAGTGAAAATTGGAAACTGAATAAAAGTAATCACTGCATATGTTCAGATTTTGATTGTACATTTTTATACATTTTGCATGAAAAAATATGCCTAGGGAAACTTGTGAATACTAACTAGAAAAAGGGAATTAATTCATGTAGTGTTTAAGTTGCATGTTGCTTAAATGTCTTGCTAAATAAGACCATTCATTAACAAAACCAAATATGCAATGAAAAGGAAGTGAACTTCAAACATCTGAGGAACTGGTGGCATAATGAAGTTTCTGTACTTTTCTCATTAGGGCTTTGACTATATTGCTCTTACTCTCAGAAGATACATAACATTAAATTAAAACGTCACACAATTACATTTTAAATATTAATTTTTTCACTCTGTAATTTTAGCATTCATCATTTTACATTTCAGAAAATATTTCCTTCTTTATTAAATTTTTTTTTGAAACAACACACTTTTTAAGTCTCAGGAATATTTTTTGATAGTAAAAGACATCTGGTTTTGTCATTCTTGAAGTACTCAAGATTAGTTTCTTAATATTATTGAAAACTTAAAAGAATCTTAGAAATGAAAATAATTTAGATATTTCTTTAAAAAAGTAAAGCAACTATGCAATGACAGAGCAAAGATTTTGAGTTCTTTGAAAGAAAAATAGTTTAAAATATTTGTGAAGATTCTCTTTTTTCTAGCTGTCACTCCATCCCTCATTGTTTTGCCTCATGTTTACTCCTCTAAACTCCTTGCAATAGTGACTGCAGTGTTTTAAATTTTGAGTATGGTGAATGCAGAGATAATGTTACAAAATTTTTAGATTACACTGTAAAATTATTTACAATGTATGCAAGGGATCTGATCTTCTATTACAGAGATACTAACATTAGCATTTGGACCAAAATCTGTCTGTCTTAGGAAAGCAGACTGACTGGAACTGCTTCCATGGTTAGAGAAGCAGTTCTAGTCACAAATTTTATTCTCACACTCTCCATATGTTTGTTAAAATGTCTTGATTTCTCCCCAGTGTCTACATGACAAGGTTCTGGCAGCTTTGCTCCAAGGGTGAGTCTGAGATCCTGCAGCTGCCCCACTTCCCTCATTCCAACACAAGCTGCTGATGCATATGGCCTGGACCACCCATATTCCTGGGATATTAGAAAAGTAATTTGGTATAAAAATGTTAGAACATTTGAAGAAAATGTCTTCAATCAAGCAGGATTTAGACAGGAAAACATAGCAAAGAATAATAAAATTAGCTTAGTTGACTCCTGAGTTACATAAAGCATTCAGGAACAAATATAGCCCTGACATAGGATCAGGCAAGCTTAATATCAGGGGTGAATTATATGCAGTGTAGTAATGAGAAAGAAAAAAAATAGCCTGAAGCATAAAAAATAGGTACAATACTTTAAAAATGGGGACAATTCTGAAACGCCCTGAAATCAAAGATTAAATTCTGAATCTGCAGTGACTTGAATCCATAGTCTGGCTTTGCTTTCTGGTCTGTTAGAAAATTAGGCCATTAGGACTGAGGAATAGCCTTGTAACAGTTAAGAAAAAGATATTATTGTGTCTAATAGATATAACCAGCTACAGAATGCAAATTAATTAGTTGCATTTGATTTCCAAAGGAAAGGATGTGACAAATCTCACACATTCCCAAGGCAGGGAAAAGAAAAGGTTAAAGTGGGCTCCAAATTCCAGCTTGTTTAGGAGACTGGAGAAACAGAACATTTAATCTGGAGACTTAGGAACTTAATGCTACATAAAAATAGGAAATACTAAAACAGAGTCACTGTGATCAATGCCAGGTGTGCCAGTACTTGGAGTCCCAATGCAACTCACCTGCAATTAAAAGTACTCAGCAATGTTCAAAATCAGCCTTGATATTGTTACAGGATATTTTGTTACAATGGAATCCCTGTCATCTGGACTGTCTCAAGAAACATTGGCAATCACAGTTTGTAAACTATGACCTGGCCTAATCACAAATGGTGTTAGGTATAGAAATTGAATTTTATGGCATGTGTTATACAGGGGGATTTTCACACTACAAAAGAAAAATGTCCCTACAATTCCTGAAAACAGATCTGGCCCACCATCATGTTAGCTCAGGTATATGATGTTCTTCAAATGTCTGTAGGCCTTATGATATAAAGTAACTGAAAAAGAAAAAAAAAGTAAAAATTATTTGAAAAAAACAGCTGCTACAGAGGATTAAGAAGTTTCTTTTTAAATTGTTTTCAAAATGGAAATTACAATATGCTATAAAAGAGATGCTGGACAAAGTCTTCCCTTTCTCCATAGCAACAGAAGCTGCATCCAAAATACAGGAGTAATTTATTGACACTAAAGGAGAAATAGGTTTTTGGAGAATGAGTGATCCTAGAGGGGGTCATCCTCGTCAGCTTGTTGCACAGTATTTGTTTTGCTATCATCTGTTTTCAGGAGTTCCAATATGATAACTCCAACCATGTCTTCCATAAATGTGAGGAGGTTTAGTGTAGAAGATGACATTTTCCAGAAATAGGTCAATATCCTGGATGGAAATCCCTGACATTATTTATCAGGGAATAAATCAGGAAGTCTAATAAAATTAGTGATAACTGACTCCTTTGTATGAAAGTTAGATACAAAAATAACAGTTAAAAAATTCATATAGATTAAGCTTCCTGTATAGAGATTGCTTGAAGAAGCTTCTTTTTGGAAACATGAAACTGTCATAGTTTTTTTTATGTAATGTCCTAATTTTCTTTCCTTTATTTATGAATGTCCCAATGACATTCCTTGTCTTTCAGGTCTTCACTCTTTCTTAAATCTGTAATTGTTTACAAAATGCCTTAATGCAGACATTGATTTTCATTTATAAAAAATAGTTTTTCTGTGACTTAATGTCACTTTAGTCTTATAAAATTACTATAAATTTCCTTTGAAGTGATAGCAGCATTAATTTTCATGTAGCAAAATAATCTTTATTATATTCTTTAGTATTTCATTAGCAAGTGCATTAAAGTGGTGCCACTTTTAAGTAACGAAAAATGCAAGAACAAATTATGTCCTTGAGATCACACCTATCAGACCATCAGTCTTTGCTGTAAGAAATTCAAGTTCTGGCATAAACCCATTTTAGGTTTAAGCACATAACTGTTTTATTGTCTTGAATAGGTGTACTCTGGTCAACAAAAATTTGAAATCTGTGGATTTTCATGAATCTGTTGAAAGTAGCTTTCACCAGAAAATTGAGTCTGCTGAGAAAAATGCAAAGTTTTGTGTTTTCATAAGTAGCCAATATTGGAAACTTCTTTCATTGTTCCATTTTTTGTATCTTTTCAGCTTGTGAGATTTCAGGAATCTGGAGAATTTGAACTCCAGCCGCACTCTTCCAGCATTATCATTACAGTGTGCACATCTGGGTTCCAGACACTTATCTACATGTGCTTATCTTTTCAGGATGATACTTCCTCTCTGCCTACAATTAGGCAGTGCTGTTCACTGTCTAATTGTAGATAACTTATTAACCATATGAAATAAAGGGATAAGTTTTTTTTCCAGTAAAGCTTACTTTATTGATATGAAATACAGAGAAATTCTGCTGTGATTATCAACATGAATTTTACAAAATCAACATTTGATTGTCCTTCAAATTAGAGCATTTAGGATTAGAACATTGCCCAGTTTCCTGGTGTAGAAGCAGTAAAAATTACAAAGCATCTTTAGATGCTTTTGCAGTCCTGAAATGGGAATTTACCAAAGTTTTCATCTCCTTATTGTCTTGAGTAAGAGGGCTGTTCATGCACTTTTGAGTGTGACAGCACCATTTCAAATGTTGTCTTGTGCTATAGCTGTAGCCATAAAGCCCTTAATGGTAAGGCAGTAATTTAAAGATATTTGGTCTTACCAAGTAGTATTTTTTTCTTCCAACAAAAAAAACCCCAACCAAACCAACCAAACAACCTCGCCTCCACCCTCCAAAAAAAAAAAAAAAATTGTGAAAAATTCTTCAACCTCAAATTTTAAAGGAGATCTGTAAATGTGTTTTGCTGGTGGAATTATTTCACATCACACTACCTTTCTATAGTTTCTTTGTTTTTCAAGAGGTAGGAAAATAGATTTTTTTTTTCCCTTTCTCTATTAATTTTTCCAGATTTTTTAAGGGCTTGAGAGCTCTTGGCTGCCATGGAAAAATATTGGAACTTTCTATATCTCAATGCAAAGATTTCAGTGACAATGGGATTCAGGTAAATCTTTGCCTTTTTCTTGGTGTTCCCTGGAAGCCCCCATGTTCATTAAATTAACCACATCCAAAACTGATCTTGTTTTGTTCTGAATGTCACCCTTCATTCTTCATAACACCATTCTACATCAAAAATTCCTCACTTTCATTCCTACAGCTCCATATGCCTGAGATCCATTCAAATTTGGCTTGAAAAGGGTGAAGATGGGGCAGGTTTTTTGCTGTTTACTTCCATGCAAAACCTAGTGGGCATGAGATCAATTCAGAATGAAGAGGAAATTACTGTTCCCAAAACATATGGTTAAACTGTGAAATTCCTTGTCCTTATCACAGGTTGCTTGAAGTTTACCAAAATCCTTTTGAAGATTTGACAAAGTCAATGTGATTGCATAGATGTGCTTTGTATTTTGTTTTGGTTTTACTTTATTTCGAAACAGTAGGAGAAATAAACACTAGCAGGTGACTTTACAGAAGTAGAAAGAACCATCTCTCTTGTTAGGAATTGACATCCAAATAAGAGCACTTTTTCTTGTAATTGAGAATTGTTCCTAACTATATGTAACAAAAACGCTTAAATAATGTATTTTTAATGGTATCGATTTCATGCCCATAACCAGTTGCAGATCAACTGCAACTGGCTGCAGGTACAGCCAATGCCATCACATAATCCCAGTCCTCAGCTTCTGCATTTTTCCATTACAAATCTTCAAATCCATCATTTTATAGCCATAGATTGTAAAAATGAATCAGTTGTTGTACCACAGGGGCTACATCTGGATTGAATCTTGTTGCTCAACATACACGTCAGGCCATTTGCTTCTCTAGGAATAATTCTGACTCGTCTTTCATGAATGTTCTATGTAAAGTTCCATATTTTTACTAATGACCAACTATGTAAATCTTGTATACCTCATGGAAAGTCGTGTGGTGCCAGTGCTGCTGCTCTCAGAGGAGAATATTCACTTCTGTTTTGTGCCATGCTCATGGCTAAGAAGCTATTTCAGGTGTCTCATTACACAGAGGAAGTTTGAAAAAAAGACTGTTAAAAAGAAGTGTTTCTGCTTTCCCTGCATGCCGAATGAATTTGAACTTTTTGAGGAAGAAAGCAGCAGCAGGGAGCACATGCAGGAGTTGCAGAAGCCCTGTTTTCATGGATCTAAGGAAGGCAGGAGAAAAAAGGAGAGATACAGAGTGACTCAAAACAAAATGACAAGTCTTTTTTTTGTAAATTGAATCTAAGGATATGATTTTGTAATCATACTGCCTGTTCCCAGGTACTATAACAGAATGTAAACACTTATGAGATCACATATTTTGAAAATAGGATCCTTGTTCATTCATAACTCAAATGATAGTCACTTAATGAACAGCAATTTAGTATTTGACCTTTTCATTGCTTGTATGTGTCCTCAGGCCTTATTTCTACAGAACTAAAATTCTGCAATTAAGTTAGAAAATTACATTTTCTTCATATGGCATTTGACTTTTTATAGTGTCTATATGTCTTGCAAACATTATTTATCCTCACAACCTCATCTGTTATTTTCTCTATAGATATATAACTAGGGATACAGAGATGAATAAAGCAAACAAAGCTCCATCTCTTTGGATTGCAAATATAATTTGAATGCTATTTGCAAAAGCATGTAGGGGTAGACTTAAAGTTAAGAGTAAATTCAGAACCTAACTCCGAAGGATATTTTAAATAAGTATGTAGACAAGCTATGCTAGTAAAAACAAGATAAACATATCTAGCAGGCATTGAAATCTTGGCTTCAGATTGTGTTACATACCCTAGCTGAGAATGTAGTGATTAAGTCATCACATCTGAAACCTACTTCTGAAAGGAGTGCAGTTTCTCTTGCACATCGATGAAAAACATTCAGTTGCTGGGTGTAGAATGTTTCTGTATTACAGGTGAAAACCAGCCCATAAATCCAAGATTGAAATAGGAAGGGTAGAGAAGCCAATTAACATAAATTCTGAATTTTCCACTTTAATCAATCCTAGGTTCAAACACTGACACTCTAATGTTTTGTAAAATAAAACAAGGGCCCAAAGCCCAAGAAAAACGGCCTTGATATAGCTGTACCAATTGTCAAAAAGAGAATGAAACCAGAGTGAAGATACAGACAAAATCTAAAAAGTATGGACTATGAAAAAAATTTCAGATCTGATAAGCTTCTTTGCATCTGTTTAGGTAAAACTTATGAAAATCACATAGAAACACATAATCTTTTGTCATAATAAAAATAATATTTTCTAGTGACCAACCCTGTGTTATTGTGAGAGTTCCTATGTAACATAAGGAGAAATTAGCTGTGTGTTAGTGGCAATTGTCTGATTACTGCAGCGATAATTCTCTCATAATGATAAATATATAACATTTGTGCATAATAAATACATGCATTTTTGTCTCTGTGTGTGTGTACACATTTTATTTATCCATGTAGTGCTTAGTCTTTTTGCCTCAGGACTAATTCTTGAAAGCTTTGAAAAGCTTCATGCAACCAGTGTTTTTTATTAAATCTACTATGTGTACTTCCTTGTTTTCCCTGTAGAGGTAGAATTGTTATTCCAGTAAATGACAAATTACTCTGGCTTTAGGCCAAGATTAGCAGGCCTGGAACCTAGCTCAGTGACACATTTATGGCATCTCACCAGGGTTTTACGCTGGACATGACAGAAGAGGAGAAATTCTGACTGAAGCTAAACCTCTGGTAGAGCTGCAGGCTGTCCTGTGATCCTCATGTCATGGAGGTGAAGAAATGTGATTTTAGGCATCTCTTTTCAAGAGGTTTCCAGAGAAGTTTTCAGTAGAAGGTCTAACTTCTCTTTGTAAGCCTAGAAATTATGGTTTTCAGGCTTGGAAAAGATTCAAGCTGAAAGGTAAAAAAAGTTTCAGAGTGCAAAAGAGAAAAGTGTATTTTAACAAACTAAACAACCTTTCACAGGAGTTCCATTGTTGTTTTCCAAGACCATCTGCTTTAGAGAATATATGAAAAAGCTAGTATTTGAATTATAAATGTGCTGGAATTGGAGTCAGTACTATCTGCAAATGTTTATTCACTCTAAAAACTAGGATACAAATTGCAGTCAACCAGTATCACAGTTAACTGGTCTGACCCCACAGAGCAAATCAGAGCCCAGAACTCTTGAGTGATAGCCCTGAGGTTCTTACCCATTCCTTTCCAAAAAAAAAAAAAAAAAAAAAAAATTGAATGTGATTTATACAGATACAATGTTCTGTCCATTTAAAAGAGAAGAAGAAGTTGTTATACACTAAAATGGGCATTTGCAGGGAACAGCAGAATGAATTTATTTGGGCCTGGTTCTCTAAACACAACATCTTACTTTCTGTGCTCAATTTAAAGAACCCAAATTCAACATGTTTTAATACATACAGTGGAACTTACATAAATGTTAGTCTAATGAACCCACAGTATAACATATAAACAATTGAAAATAGCCCCTTAGTGCATTTCTTCTTTTTCTAGTGACATTCCCAGTCAGCGGCAGAATGACTGCACTACTAATGAAGGGTACCTAGAGAACTGAAGTGGATCAAAGGATTGATGTACAGGTATTGTAACTGAGTTCTGCAAGGGCACACAATACCTGGAACACTGCCATGTCTCTTACTGCCCTCAGCTGACGGAGGAAGCTGTGAAAACAATGGCATTTCACTGCCACAGACTGACATCTGTCAACATAGGAGGTTGCCCAAAGGTATGGACAAGAAATGGGTGATAGTTCTGGGATTGTATTGCAAAGAATTACTTACTATTTCATCCAGAAATTTGACCTGCTGGCATCATTCAGCTGCTTTTCTGTGAGTTCTAAGATTTGAGACTTGGCTCTTGGGAGTATTTGGCATTCTTCTAATGGCTGCAGGTACAGTATAAAGGTGTCCACACTGTATCAGGTAGAAGTTTTCCTCTCCAGGAGTTGATATCTAAACAAGGGTGAAGAGAGAACAGCTTTCACAATACATATCACTTCCTGCAAATACTCTCCCAGGTTCTGGTGTTTTGGCTGCTTTGAAAGGATTATGGCTTTGTTTTAATTAGTCTTGATATTTTCATGGGCTTTTTTTTTCTGAGTTCTTTTTCTGAACCCAAGTAAAGCATAAACTGGGGCATTAGAAATTAATACTGTACACAGCAAGGCAGTAGCTACTTTGAAATCAAAGAGATGCCTAAAAGCTGAAGCACTCAGGGTTGAAATTAAATTATTTAGTTTAAGATTAATCTGTAGCGAAACTTAGTTCCTCTTTACCATGAACTTCTATTATAGCATTTTTGCTTCTAGTATTTTCTGTATAATTTCTTTTTGACTAAAGCCTCATATCTCAATTATCGTTTTACTGTACTTGAATGTGTGTTCCCTTTGGAAATTATGCTGTTATGAAAGTCTATATCCCGTCCCTGTACTTTCTGACTTAATAACTATGGCTTTTGTGCATTTAATTACTGATGCAGTTTTATTTTTTTTAACAGCAAAACAAAATACTTGCTTCATTTTGAAAATAAGCATACAAACACATTTTTTAAAATGCCGATTTCATTTTTTGTTTAAATTTCGTGGGAAAAGTTATAATGTTGCTTCTGTCACCATCACATAGCAATGAACAAGTTTATTAATACTTTTGGAAATGTTTATCTTGAACTATCCTTTAAAATGTTGCCACTCAATGAACCAGTTTTCCTCATTTTTCCCCATTGAAATGACTGTGTCCCATTTTCTTCCACAGTAAGTCTGCAGCCATCACTTGTTCCTCTGACTATTCTTTCAGTCCTCCACACATCCCCCTCATTCCCTGCAGTGGCTGAGCACAGCCCCTGCACAACTAATCTGAGATTATTTGGCTGACTAATTAGCCAGCCCTAAATTTAGCTATTGTCGGATCAAGTTGTTTGCCTTCCAAATGTACATTAATCTTCTCAGCCTCTAGGCCAAAGCTCACTGGCTGTGTTTCAGATCTGGGAGGCCACTCTCTATCTTACACTAGCCCTTGGTTTATATCTTACAGCTATTACTGTACACCATTAATTATTCTATCCATGGGTCCTAATCTCCTGTGTCCTTTGGGTTTAGATAGATATTCAGCTATTTTTCCACGAAGACAGTGGTAATAGAAGTTGTGCACAGAGTTCTTCCCAAAGCTGTTGAAGTATGGAGTGCTGCAATTAGTCCTGTTTGCCAGGCTTGCCCGACACATGACACACCAACACAGGAAAACAAAACAAAACAAACACCATAAAATGTCAGTAAACACATTTAGGCTGGCAGTTGGGAGATTTTTTTTGGTTATCACAGTAGTGAATTATGAAAGAGTTTTCTGGGAAGGGAGATGGGGCAAACTGTTGAGGAATGTTAGTATGGTTTTTGGTAAGGGAATGGACTGGGTCATATTTTGCAGTTCCTACAAATGGGAAAAATTAGTCAACTCAGTGACCCAGTAATCCCCTTCCAACACTTTGTTCCTAGATGGTATCTTTTCTTTAAACAGTTATAAAGCCAATCTGTTAAATGCTAATACCCTACTATTTTCAGAAAAGAACATTGAGACTCTTCTACATAAACCTACCCATAAATTTACAAGTTTTTGACTTGAATCCAGCTTGCAGCTCCATAAAATGAGATGGGTACACCTGTGGATGTTAAAGCTAATGGGTCTTACAAATCCTTTGCCAATCTGTAATGTAAATTGAGGGTATTCAGCTGCTAAGTAAAGAAATATTTTCCACTCACAAACTGTTTAAAAATGGTCAGGAGATTAAAGTTGGCATGAACCTTTTCCAAAGGATAAATGTTAATGTGTCCTGCAACATCAGGTATTTTATTTTAAAGAAAAATTATTTTAAAATTAATATAGAAATATTCATATATAATATTAAAATATTAAATTAATATATAAATAGGGTCTTTTGAATGTGCTATGCATGTTACTCTAAAATTAGAACAGTTTATAACTTTAATCTTATATTCTGAGGCAAATCAATTGTCTTTCAGCAAACTCCAGTGCCTTCAGTGGAGGTGCTGTGAGTCTCCATGCCATGGTTCTGTATGCCTAGGGCAGGTACAAGTCATTTTGCAAATGCTGATTGTATAAAATATTCAGCAGTTCTGTTCTGAGCCTTATTCCTGATTCAAGGGTAATTCTTATTTCATAGGAAAAAAATGAGGTTGCTGTGAGAAATATTCTACACACAAAAAAATACAGTAAGAACTGAAAATAAATCTCTGGCTAAATGAATTGGCCTTTTAAATAGCTAAGTTCTGAAGACACAATAGAATGAACAACGAATTCTGTCATTCAGTCCTCTAAAGTGAATAGGATCCAGTGTATGACAAATGTAGATTTTTCTAAATGCATCTGATATCAGTTACTGACTTCAGAGTAAGCACCTTTTTTAAAAATGAGAATATGAATCTACCTAATAATATTTTGACCTATTTATTAATCTATTGTAGATCTTAATATTGAGCATATAAACAGATCTGGAATAAACAAAGTACGTGTACATTGCTCTATGTACCAGGAGGACTATCATGAGAGAGTGTGCTAACCCTTCTTTCCACAACCCCAGGCCCCAGCTTTATCTTGCCACCTTGTCTCATATAGATTCTCATGAGACTGGCTGTTCAGTATAAGTGAAATCCTCATCTCTCTTTTTACCACCCCAGTGATTTTAATCAAATGTCTTTAACAGGTTTTTACTATGCTCCCTCTTGATTTTTGGTCCTGAATGAACAAGGTAATTAAAGTACGTGCATAATGTATCCTTGACTGTTCCACTGAGGTCAGTGGAGCAATTTTTAGCTTGCATGGCTGCTTATGTACCTTGAAGACTGCGTGTCATGTTTTTCTCAAATGAAACTTCTAGTATTAATGGCAATGAGTATCAGTTCCTGAAAAATGGACTTATGAGGTGAAATTAAGAAGTTGTGCTTCAGAGCTAAAAAAGCCAACCACATATTCAAATAGTCTTGGTGTTAGACGCTCATTTGTAACAGAGAACTGAGTTTAAAAAGTGATACAAGTGCATCCTAATAACTTAGAGCAATGCAATAGCATGAATACTAAGGGTTTCTATGTGCTGCATGCACATATATGGGTGGGAAAGTTAAACCATTCTCAGTAGGTGAAAAAACCCCACAATATTTAAAACTAGACTGCAATCACAGTTAACTAATATCTAATATTAGAAAGTGACAGTTTCTGTGGAGCCTCTTGCAGAGATTAAAAATTCTGCTGTGCCAAAAACCTTACTTCAATTTTAAAACATTGTTTTCCTTCCAATAGGACACTAAAGTTGTGCTCTGTACATTTTTTTTTCATCTATTCAATAATCTTCTAACTTCTGCATGTCTTGTTGCTTCATTTACAGATGATTGATACATGTATCCAGTACTTTGCTGCAGCCTGCCATTATCTCCCCTTCTTGGACATCTCAGGTTGTATTCATCTTACTGACAATACCTGAAATATCTTTGGAAAGCCTGTGTGCAACTCCAGATTCTCATGACACTGTACTGCAGAAAAACTACCAAGAAAACATTTCCTAATCTTACTTCAGAGGTGGTTGTAAACCCCAAAACATGAGCTTCTTTTCTTCACTGGCATCATGGTGCCATGCTAGGTATCCGGCTTGAGCCATCCAGCTTCTTTATCCAGGAGCTGTCCACACTGGTGCCTTAAGACTCCAGTGGTCTGGCAGGGTTATCTACACATTCCAGTGTCAGCCAGAAGTGAAGAGAAATACAGACTCTGCCTCTTTATGGCAGACAGTGTCCTCTTAGGGAAGTTTCTGCAGACAAAGGACACCACCTCAAAGACACATGGGAACATGAATGAGAAAACCAGGCTGGACTTAATGCTCTCAGCCACCACACTGTGTACCTGAGCTCACTCCAAGGGTTTGTGGGGCCTGTTTCCCAATGACTGAATGTCAGTATATGGCAGCAGATATGTGCCTGTGCTCAAAACGCAGCACGGTTACAGCAACTGAGTCAAGTATGGTGCTGTGACCACTTCCCCAGGTTGTTTTTTACTGACCAATCTCTCAGTTAATAACCTTCTCTTAAAGTTCAATCTGAACTTCCCCTGACACAGCTTGTGCCTTATCACTGGTCAGCACTTCCCCCTCAGCATTCCCTTCTCCAAGCTGAACAAGCCAAATGACATAAACCGCTCTTTGTAATTCTTGTGCTCAAGATATTTCACCATCTTGGTCACCTTTCTCTGGATGATCTCCAATAGTTTAATGTCTTTCTTGTATTGTGGTGCCAAAACTGCCCCCAGCACTCGAGATGAAGCCACTCCAGTGCAGAGCAGAGCAGGACAATCCCCTCCCTTGCCCAGCTGCTGATGCTGTCCCTGATGCCCCCAGGACACGGGTTGCCCTCCTGGCTTCCAGGGCACTGCTGGCTCATGTTCAATTTTCCATCGACCCAAACGCCCAGATCCCATTCTGCAGGGCTTTTTCTCCAGCCTTTCATCCCCCAGTGCATATGTATAACCGGGTTTACCCCAGTCCAGGTGAAAAATTGAGTATTTGCTCTTGTTCAGTTTCATGCAGCTGGTAATTGCCCAGCTCTTCAGTCTGTCCTGATCTTTCTGAGCTCCTTTCTACCCTGCAGGGACTCTTGTTAGTATCATTGGCACACTTTACATTTAATTCCTGCATCCAGACTATTTATAAAAACATTACAAATTGAGCATTGGTGTCTGGCCACTAACCTGATATAACCTCATTTACTGTAACACTTTGAGCCCAACCTGTGAGCCAGTTGCTCACCCAGTGTATTATGGACTTGCTCTGCTGAGTGCTGGACAGTTTATCCAGGATACTTTTGGAGACAGTATCAAAAGCTCTGCTAAAATCCAAACCCACCATATCTACTGGCTTCCTTTGGTCAGCTAGGTGAATGACCTTGTCATAAAAGGAAATTAAGTCGGTTAAGCAGGACTTCCCCCCCATGAACCTATGCTGGCTGTGCCCAGTGACTGCATTGTTTCTTAAATATTTCTCAGTTACTCTCAGAATAACTTTCTGAGATATAATAACCAATAACCAAATAACCAGCTATAATAACAATAACCAGTTTTAATAACTAAAAAAATAAAAAATTTTACCAGGCACTGAAGTGAGACTGGAGGGCCTGTAATTGCCGGAACTTTCCTTCTTTACCCTTCTTAAAAATTGGGAGAACTGAGTTGAGTCCTGTGAGTCTCAAAAGATGTGGATTTGATGTCCACCACCCTTCCATGGGGGTTAAGAGTATTACAGACCAGGCCCTGTACACCTAGAACAGCAGAGTGGCCAGACATGCCACAGGGCTGAAACTGGAAAGGAACTGAAGTTTAGACATGGTTGATATATCTGAGTATGTAACTTAATAAACCTTTATGAGAGTAAGAAATCTAAAATACCATCCTATATAGAGAGCCTATGCTAGGGGAGCTCTAACTGTACTCTGAGAGGTCCTCTGCAAGCACTGTACTTCCTGCTCAGCCATTCCAGGGTTTAATAGCTGCTTTAGAGACCACAAGATACATATGCTTAATAACTCAAAAGGTATTTCCAGTGTGCTTCACACTTTCCAAATTCTCCTCTACTATTTCCCTGTCTTACCACAAACAATTCTGCTGTCATTGGTCTTATTTTCTTCACTTCTCTCAGACATAGTTTTTTCAATGTCATCTCAGAACTCTCTCTTTAAAATCTCTGCTTCTAATTAAACACTTGTTAGATACAGAAAGTGCTTTGAAGGATTGGTATGCAACAGTAGTAATTGAAAAAAATTAATTAATTCAGATTAATTTAATCTCTTAATAATTTTCTGATTTACAGTTTTTCTCATCTTAAGCCTCAAGGGTTTTTCTTTTTTACTCAGATTACTGTTGTTGACTTGTTTATTCTGTGACTTCATATTTCTGTTTAGAGCAGCAGCGTGTCAGCCCTTTCTGATTCTGCTTGCTGATCCATCTTCCTGTAGAAGTGAGATGTAATGGAAACAGAAATTTGCACAAATTCCAATTTGTGTTGGCTGAGCCATCATCAAGGAGCTTACACGACTTCTCAGAAACCCATTTTCATTATTGTGGCCTGGGATGACCCAGGATTGTGCCTCTGCCTAAGAGTCCCATGTGCAATAGGTTCTCCAAAGGTCTTGATTAAACTCTTCTAACCCAGCCAAGGAATTTCCCAACCGGTTATTTTTACTCTAAAGATAACCCTGGAGAGTTACACATCTTTGCAAAACAAAAAGGCAACCATGAGACACATGTCTCCACCCAGTGTTATCTTTGCCCTTTTTGTGATGTTTAGAACTAGGTCAACTTTGCCAATTTTATTTTCTTGACTCTAATTTTCTGGACAGTGGATGTTTTTTTTCCTTGCCAGCCTCAGTCTCTAACCCTTCACACCACATGTTCAGTGATAGGAAACCCCTGCACCATCTGAGTCTGGGACAACATTTACTAGGTGGATTGATTATGCAGAATAATGCAGTCCTGAACATTTTTTGCTTGTTCCTTCCAACAGGTCCAAAGATATCCCACCCTAGATTTTGCCAGGCCACAGAATATACTGGCTGCATCCAGATGGAATGATATGCATAAGATAAAAGTGAGTTCACAGTTAGATTCTGATACATTCCACATCCTGCATGTTTCCCAGGTTTTTTTTTAATTGCACTTCAAGGCCTATATGGTAACATTGATAAAAATTTTATCTTCTGCCAATAACCACATCAAAAGCACAGGAAAATATGGCATGATTCTAGAGTTAGTTATCTCGCTGTAGCTTTTCAACAACATCAAAAGCAATGACAGTATTGTTGCTGTCACATAAAACCATCTGTTTCTTTCACAACCTGTATGTTTTCAGTAATGAATGAGAAGCAATAGATTGTCAGAAAAACTAAAATGGGCCCTAATTCTGTTTTCAGACTAACTCTTAGAAATATATTCAGGTTCTCAGATTTTCACAGAAGGTAAAGGCTGGTTTCAGGTGTAATTTATCTTCTGAGGGTGTGAAACCTACGTTGTAGAGAAATTTCATTCCCTGTTTAAGGAGATGGTAAAGGTCATCTAGGTAAAAAATCACATTCATCTGGAGAATCAGATATGCTAGTGGCTTAGGTTCTAAATAAGCAATCAAATAAATATGTTTCTGGTTTAAAGTCGCCTTAAAATATCTGTGGCATAAAATACTACTTCATTGTTCCAAAGGAATTCCCCATTATTTATTGCTAAACACTAGCCAGTCCTAGCAGACATTTCTTAATAGACTAAACCTTGCAAGTATTGAGTCATTTCTCTTTTATTGTGCACATTCTTTTTTTTTTTCTTTTTTTATTTTTACTGTTTTGATAGATTAAAATAGAAAACATGTGGAGCCACAAAGTTCTTCAAGTTTCAGTCCAATGCAGCTTCATAGGAAACAGTTATGGGTTTTCAATTGTTCATTCTTTCCATTAAGTATCAGGTAGATTTTGAGATTATATTTGCCAACATACTGCCCTGCTTCCAGGTTTAATAAATGTTAGAAGGAAAAAAAGGTCTAGGGCCTGGTATCCTGCTGCATGTTTCTGTATCCAGAGACTAATGACCTTTCAGCTAATCCAGTTTCTAAATGGCAGAAAGAATTGTGGATAATTCTAATGTGGAAGTACATAATGCTGGTACAATTGATTTCTTCTGCTAGAGGAAAACCAGCCTAACTCACTGCTTTCCATAAAGTGGGAAAAGGTTGTGTCAGTTTGATTTCCTTAAGACTACTGCTGTAGGAAATAACACACTGGCATCTCTAGAGAAGCATTTCTGTTCCCTGTAAAACATTCTGTGTTAACATTTCTAGATGCAAAATAAGAAAGGAAACTTGTCATTGACAGAGAAGCCAGCTAATCTTCTGCTTTTCCCACACTACATCTCATCTGTAACAGCTTGGTTTCCTGAAAAGATCTTCTTTGAGAGCAAAATTAGGTACTTCCTTCTTTCTTGTGTGCACTAACATACAACTGGTTACATTTCTCCTATACTCATGACTATGCTATTAACAAGAAACTCATCAACAATTCCTCTTACATTTTTTGCCTTTTAAACAAAAATTACATTAGGTCTTAATAGGTATGATACATTTAACATTTGGAGAAAACTTTAATTTTTGTTTGGTTTTGTTGTTGTAGTGTTTTCTAATGGCTGCTGTTGGTTAGAAATGAGATTGCAAGAACTCTTTTTTTTCCTGAAAAAGCAGAATTTCTTAGGTGTTATCCAAATATTCAGGTCTCAGGGGAGGAAAGATCCAACAAACATGAAATTGGAAATGAAGACCTCCTACACACGATTTGGTAAAAGACCAACAATTACTCCTTAGTCTTCTGTTTAACAAGCAAAAAAAATACAGTACTGTCTTCTCACTGACTAATTCTCTTTTTGGAAGTGACACAGAGGCTCCTGGAGTGCCATGTTTCAGTCACTGAGTGCACATGAACTGGATGCCATAAAAAGATAAAACTACTGCAGCTGACATGGACCTCAGAATACTTCACATCCTATATAGTCTTATCACATTTTGTAACCTGGAGCACGCCTGCAGAACACTTCCTGCTTTTCTTATTAGCTCCCTGCCTCCACTTGTCTAATTTCTCCTGTATTTGCACTATAAACATTTCTCCCATGTTTGAGTTTTTATTTTCCATTACTTTTTACTGTTGATTGGTTTCTGTAACCTCAGCTCAAAAAGTTTTTTTTCAAAACCTCTGCTTTTTATTATGATGGACCAAGTCAAACAGGAACAGGCTTCCCAGGGCAGTGGTCACAGCACCAGCCTGACAGTTCTAGAAGTGTTGAGAAAATGCTCTTGGGCACACAGTGTGACTCTTGGGAATGGTGCTGTGCAGGGCTGGCAGTTGGACTTGATGATCCTGGTGGGTTCCTTCCAACTTTGCACGTTCTGTGATTCTGAAAAATTGTTGAATTTTGGAATGGCTCAGGATTCAGACCATATTGCAGAACTGTATTACCCAGTTACCCCCTCTCAGTAAAATGGATTCAAACTTTGGATAAGGATTCAATTAGGTATTCCAGTGCTGCTCAAGCCCTGTGTTTGGGCCAGTACTTTGTCTGACTTATACTAAGAGATAGTTGTTTTGCCAAAGATAACTGTAATTATTGGCTGAAATACTTTTATTCATCAATTGGCTCATTTAAGACAGCAAATAAATAAATAAATAAAATAATCAAGCTCTGTCATAGACAGTATATCTTAAAAAAACAATCTTTTTACCATGTGTTGATGATTAATGAATGGCTGTTTCTGGCAAACCACTCAATTGTACCTCCAGGCATGGGACATCATAAGTTTCCAAAAAAGTAGTAACAGCTCCCCTTATACATGCTTCAGACAGCCACTATACATCGCAGTTTCCATGAAAAACAGGAATTTGGACTTGGATGAGTTGATTTTTTATAGGTCAGAGCTTATAGCTCATATAAATTGTGCACACATTCCTCAATGGTGCAGGCCTCCCTAATATAAAAACAGATGCAGCCTTGTGTTCCTGTGGCTCATAGAGTGTGTCAGTGTTGGACATTTTATAAAAAAAATATCCTGCAGTGGTTGAAAACAAGCCCTTATTGCTTCACTAATTCTGTTCCTTTTCCACTCCTGCCCACTTCCCTTTCCTGCTGTAGTGGTGCAAGCATTACAGCTGGGCACATCTGCCCCTTGTAACCATCTCCAGCATTTCCACTTTGGGAAACAAACACAAAAAACACTGTAGCAACATTACTGGCATATAACAGAGCACTTCAATTTGGATTTTTTTTTTTTCCACTATTGTCTGGATGCTGTATATTATATTTTTCCAGAGCTTAGCAGTAGGGAGAAAGGCTGCCTTGCTGTGGCTGTGACACACCAGATCAGGTTGAATCTCCTGGAAAGGATGGGAGAAGCAGAGTTGGCTCTTGCCCAGGAGTACGCTCAGCACAGGGGGGTTCTGGAGCGCAGAGCTGGCGGCGGGGGAGGCCGGGCAGGAGGGTCTCTGCTCAGCAGGACTGGGCTGGCAGCCAGGTCACACAAGGCATGGAAAGAAAGAGACATTCACAAGACTGCAAGTGGTGGGTTCAGTTTCTTCAACTTGGGAAGGTAACAAAAATTGCTGGATTGACACTGCTGAAAAAGGAAGAGCTGCTCTTCTTCTTTTTAGAGTGTCTCACTCAGGACGCCTGATTTTCTCAAATTTTGATCTAGTTTATTAGTTTTGTGTTCTAATTGTGCAAAAGGACAGTGGCCACAAAATGTTGAGGGGGATCTGAGGGGTCATGGGTAGGCTTGGGCATCACAGACAATTCTCTTTTGGTACAGCTGTCACAGAAGCTGCAGAACACAGCCTTGGGGCAGGTCCAGAGCCAGGGCATGCAGGTAACCATAAAGCTCCTGTAGCCTGCCCATTGTGTACTCAATTCCATCTCTGAAACAATACATGTTAAAAGAGGTGGGTGACAGAAGATACCTACAGTAGAGAGGCTGGCCAAAAAGCAAGCAGAAAGTGAATGAGGAAAGGGTAAAAATACTTGTAGGTGCCAAAGATGCTGGTTCAAATAGAAAAATAGAGGCACCTGCTCAGTCACTATAGCCTTCCTACAGAGCTATGACAAAACACCATGGAAATGCTTTGCCAAAGGTAGTATCTTTGGATGTAGCTGGTTTGTTTATCTTGTTTGGTTTTATATTTTCTTCCAAAGAGAATGTTGTTATGTCAGTGGCATCACCCTCTCAGATCTGTGTTCAGGCAGATGCTGACACACTACAGCAAGTGTGGATGAAGCCCACCAAGATCATTAAAGTGCTGGAGCATGTGGTCTGTGAAGAACCTTCAGAGAATTGCTTTGCTAAGTCCCAGGAGAAGGCTCGAGATGGAGGAGAACTTATTGCTGCCTGTAACTCATCAGAGCATACAGAACACGGAACCAGACCATTGTCAACGGTGCACTGATAGGACAGTGGCATATGTAAAATTCTGACTACATTCTGATTACAAGGAAACTTCAATCTTTTAACCAGGAAGCTAGTCAAACTCTTGAAGAGAATCCCAGAGACTCTGCAACCTTCATCCCTGGTCTAGCTGGATACACTTAAAGCAAGTGTTGAAACACTCTCCAGAGGCCTCTTCCAACCTAATTCATTCTGTGACTCTATGACCTAACCAATTATTTTCTAGTTTACTTTCCACAACATCCTTATAATATTGATCGTTTTAGTTAATCCAAGGAACTTTTCCTCATTAAACTGCTTTTAGTGTTCTTTGTAAAAACATCCTCAGAAAAATTTTGTCATTATTATTTTTAAACTCTTGTTGCACACAAGCTGTCTTGAAATACACAAGCTGTCTTGAACTGGAGAAAGAGGAACATAATGATGCTGACCGTCCTTCCTGGCTTGGATATGACTGGGATGCTAACATAACCACCTTCACCAAAAAAACATAGATCAGAGCCTGAAAAAACAAATTCTTCAAAATGAAAAATGAAGAAATTGTGCAGCATCTATATAGTTCAAGGGCTTTTCCCTAGAGCATAAAAAGACCACTGTTATTTTTTCTTAAAACTAATCACATTTTAATAAAAAGCCATTTGTTGCATTAATAAGGAAGCATAGCAAATATTTCTCACAGGAGTATCAATGCCTTCAAGCAGGACAGCTGCACTCAGACAGCACTGCTAACTCTCAGATGTTGATTCAAGCTGTCTTCATTTTTCAGTAATGAAAGTTTTTGTAGTACCATGCAGAGTAAGCAATGAATAAATCTGCAAGTGTTGGAGGCTTTGTTTGCCATGAAAGTCCTCTCCAGGACATAAACACTCTGACTCCCCAGAGAACTTCACACTTGATGTGGCTGGTACCCATCAAATACAGCCTTCTTGAGGAGTTGGAGTGAGTAGGCAGCAACTACAGATTCTTTAATACACAACTACACCCATGCATTTAAGCACAGTTCTCCACTTCTTGACAGTCACTTGGGCACCCGGAACCCTCATTCTCATAAAAGCCTCTTGGGCTGAGTCCAGCTCTCTGAACAAGCTAATGTTCAGGTCTGCAGGTCTGAACTGTGGGCTGGCTGGCAGCTGAGAGAGCAGGAGAATCAAATTAAAGGGAGTACCAAGGAAAAAAATGTTAAAGTATAAATTTGTACCAGTTACAAGACTGTCTTCTCATCAAATGGACAAGAAAAGATATATGGGCACACAAGGGATTCGCCATTCAAATTCTAATTGCTGATAACCTACTAATCTTCCCTTGTCTAGAGAAAAATACAGTTTCACCTCATTAGAGGAGAACAAGACATTGCTAATGCCTTTGGGAAAACTCACAAGGGTTTGTCCTCCTTCAACTCATTCTTGACCTTTATATTAACATTCTAGCTGGTCTCAACATGCATTACTTGAAATGAATATAATCAGTAGCTTTAGTAGTAGCACAATTTTTCTGCTGGCTAATTTAAACTTCTTTAAGCAAGTAACTAACAAGTCTGATGTTTAATTCCTGCTAGATTTAGAAAATTAATTAATTCAAAGTCTGAGTTTGCTTTCTTTTCAATATGGAACAAATAACATGTTTTCTTACTATGTTCTCCCCTAAATTGCTGATGCAGCAGTTTCAAAAACCACAACCTTAATCTTAGAGGCTGACAGGCTTTGTATTTCAGGTGAATAATGGGACTATTAAATGGATTCAATTTTGTGAAGTACCTACCAGACTGTTTTCGTGTTTTCACGTGATGTGAATTATGAGGTGCTTTTTTCACTTTGGCTGCAGCAGGGCATAGAAATCATTAGTTTCAAATATTTTCCTGCATATCCAAAACCATTATAATTTATTACTTTTGTAACTCTTAAAAGTATAAGTGCATATCCAATAATATTGTAATGCCTTTAGTAATACTATTAGAAATGTTTTATATATTAGTGTTTATATTAAAAATACATATAATTTGTCATATGTATCAGTGCCCACCTCATCCCAACAAACAGTACACACAACAATAAACAAAAAGTGGAGTTTTAACCACCCTGAATTACAGTAGATATGCTGCCCTTGACTCTTGAAGTCCATTAGCAAGGGGCAATTATATCTCCGGGGGAATCCTGTGGCAAAGAAGTTAATTTCATAATGTACCATTATGACCTAGAGAACATACACATATATACAAGACTTAAAGCCTGAGCTGACAGTCTGAATTCTCTCCCGCTCCCTGCCATCCCCTCAGCTGGCAAGGGTTCTGACATTTCAGCTTAAAACACAAATTTCACTACTGCTTTTATAAGGTGCCATAGAGATGCATGAAAAGGCTTTTAAAAGCTCCATTTAATTTACTGTGTGTGTTTGTATTACAGTGACACAGAACCCTCCACAAAAATCGAGCCTGCCCTTGTGCAGACCCACCTACTCCCCCCACCTCCCTCTCTGCCTTCCTGCCTGGCAGCTTTGCAGGACAGGGCTCTCAGTCACTGCAGAGAATTTGAGCAAACAAAGAGATTCCAGCTCTCAGGCACTAGGGCAACACTGCCTTTCAATGGCAGCTTTTCCTTCAGGGATTGTTCAGGTGGACTCTCCCCTGAAGTCCAGCTGGAGGAGTGTTCCTCCTTGAAATCAGCCAGATCCATGGTACTTTTATTTATTTTAAAATCTTTGCAGATAAGCAGTGGTAGACATAGCTGGAGTTCTTCTTTCTAGCCACAAACCAGAGGTTCAGGATGACATGAAGCAAGTTCTGCCATTTAACAGAAGTATTTCTACACAGAGTACCCATAACACCAGATGAAAAGACCACATAAGAACCACACTGAAAGTGATTTTTTCCTATCCATTATACAATTTGTTTGAAGAAAATTTTCTGCATTTTGCATAAACCAGTAGAATTCCCACAGTATTGAGACAATTATTTTAAAAGTATAACAGAGCTTGCAAAGCATGTCATCTTGGAAGTGTTGAAAATGCTTTTTTTATTTTTAAATGACAACTCCAAACTTTTGTTTGAAAGTTACCAGCTTTTAAACTGATATGATAAGAGGGTCAACTTACATAAATTCTGAATACGTAAGATCATCTCATTCCTGAAAGGCACTAAAATAAACCAGACTTCTTAGCACCAGCACTGTCACAGGCAAATCTTGGGTTAAAATGCTCTCATTTTTAATAGTGTCTCTCTTATATTAAGAATATTCATCCAAAAAGTTTCATAATTTTACAGAAATGTTTCTTTGTAGTTTCTTGATTTAGTCTCTTTGGCCTATTTCACCTTTAAGAACTCTTCAGCTTGACAGACTGGATCCAGCTTTGGCTTTTAAGACACACGTTGCCATTTTGTGTGTCAGCCTTAATCCATTTGTCTGTTTCATCCCTTTGATTCATGTGACCTGGAAAAGAGAGTTGTCTTAGTTTAATTTGACACACAGTAAACACATCATCTTCATATTGTCATTTTTTTCCAAGCTGTCTGGTAGCACTTATAGCACTCTTATTTGGTAGAATTTGTGTACTTTTAGCAGAGACATTTCCTTCTTGATACAGTTTTTTTGCATGTATCTAATTTCCCATAATACATCTTTACAATAGAGTAGTGGTTTTTATTATATAATACTGCACTTTTTATTCTAAGCTAAGAAATGTGTTACAGTGGGATGACCCCAGTTGGCTGTCAGGTACCTACCAAAGCCATTCTACCACGCTCCTCCTCAAATGAATAGCTCAGAGAAAATATAACAAGAGGCTCATGGATCAAGATAAGGGCAGGGAGATTTCAGTTTCCAATTGCTGTCACAGGGAAAACAGACTTGACTTGGGAAAAAACTAATTTCATTTATTCCAAATCAACTCAGAGAAGGGTAATAAAAATAAAGCCAAATCTTAAAAACATATCCCACTCACCGCACCCTTTGCTCCAGGCTTAATTTCACTGCTGATTTCTCTACTTCCTCCCCACCAGAGGCATAGGGGGATGGAGAATGAGGGTTTTGGTCAGTTCACACATAATCTCTGCCAGCTCCTCATGGTCTTCTCCTGCTCTGACAGAGTCCTCCACAAGCTGCAGGTGGATCTCTGCAGCCCTGCAGCCCTCCAGGGGCTGCAGGGGAATCTCTGCCCTGGAGCACCTCCTGCCCCTGCTTCTGCACCGGCCTGCACATCAGCAGGGCTGCTTCTCTCACGTATTTTCACTCCTCTCTCCAGCTGCTGATGTGCAGTAGGGTTTTTCCTCTTTAACTCTGTTATTCATCATCACTGAAGGGTTCAATCCTGGCCAGTGATGGATCCATCTTGGAGCAGGACACAGGGGAAGCTTCTGGCAGTTTCTAACAGAGGTAACACCTAGAGCACCTCCCAGCAACCTTGCCACACAAGCCCTATGTGTTCTGGTTTTCTATGGGATAGTTTGTTTTTTTTTTAATAGTAGCTAGAATGGACCAACACTGATGAAAACAGTTTTGACAATATATAAAATTCGTTGTTTCTGAGTGCCCCTTTCAGAGTATCAAGACCTCTTTTCTTCTTCTAATACTGATCTCTGCCACGACCCCAAACGACCAAAGGGATATTCTGAACTGTATGGTGTCATGTTCTGCATCAGAGCTGGCAGGAGGAGGATCAGGGGACATTCAGAATGATAGCATTTATCTGAGCCAGTACCTGTTACACGAGATACAGTCTTGCTTTCCTGGGCATGGCTGAACACCTGCCTGCCATGGGAAGTAGTGAAAGAATCCCTTATTTTACTTGGCTTGTGTGCATAGCTTTTGCTTTATCCATCAAAGTCTTAATTTCAAAGTCCCTTTATCCCAACCATTACTTTTCTCACTTTTACTTTTCTGTTTCTCTCCCCCATCCCACTGGTGGGGAGTGAGTGGCGGCCTGGTGCTCAGTCGCCAGTTCTGGTTAAACCATGACTCTACATGAGATACTGATCTGTCTAAGTAATTTCAAAGATTTTAATTGTTATTGTAAACACTGAAAAGAGACATGGTAAGACCTTATTGTCCAGATGCCTGGACATTTTACTACTATTACTGTTTCCTTATGATAATGGTCTAAAAACCCCCACAACCATGAGGTATGTGTCTTGTTACATTTTTCACACAGTCTTCGTATTCACAGTCATGCTCTGTATGACAAAGAAGAGAGTTCAACTCATTCTCATTTTATAATTAAGAAAGTGAGGCCAAGAGAGAATAAGTGACCTTCCAAATTTATACAAAAGTTTTGTGTCCATATTGGGAATTAAACTGGGATCTTTAAAGTCCCAAAATCAGTGCCTTTATCACAAGATCAACCTTCACTTTGGTTTATCTTTACAAAATATCATTTATTATTACTTTAGTGTTCATTTAACTGTGTGAATTCTAAGTTTAGAATAATTTGAGCCTGGAATAACACAAGGGATGGCAGGGAAGCAGATTCTGAACCAGTTTTGCAAACATGCTCTGCTCTGTAACACAGCTGAAATTAAATTCTGGCCACAGCAAAAACAGTGGCAAAACTCCAACTGACATCACTGCATTGGTTTCCACAACTCAGGCCTATGTGCCAGAACTTTTCAATAGTGTTTCTGTGCTTTAGCAGCTCTAAGTGGGACTGATTTAAGTTTATGGGCCAAACCCACAGCAATTCACAATAGGCTGAGGTATGGTTTGGAAGTACAGGGTTCTCAGAGAAGTCCAACAATGTTAGAGTAACTTCAGTGTCCCTTGTTATCAGACTAAAACATGCCTTCAGGTGTCTCCAAGGGGATGTCCTGCTGCAATTTCTGTACTCCTCCTTGCTCCAGACAGCAGCAGTCTCAACCACACTCAGTGTCAGTAACATTCCTACAGTAAAACAAAATCCACAGACCTCTACTCATCATCTAACTTGCAGACTTAAATCTGTGATGAATCACCAAGTTGGACAAATGTGTTGTATATGGACTCCATTAAAATTTGAAAGTTCAGTTCCTCAAAGCTTTCCCAAATCACTAATTTTCAATAGGATTGTATCAGAGAGTAAAGAACAAAAATTAAAACATAATCTGTCTTTTAAACATAGATAACACTTAAAACATTTAATCAGTCTGGTTTTTAAACAGGAAACAGCCTCCAGGTGACAAGAAATTGAACCTTGAATGCTTCTACAAAAAGAAGTATAAAGGAAAATTTCAGCTGATCCTTTAAACAGAGCTGTAGAACACTAAAAATATAGTTTTTTTCTCTTAGGGAGAGAGGACAGAAATGCAGGGCAGAAATGTATTTCCAGAAGGTGCATATTGGAGTGCTTGGTCTCAGTTTCCCTCTCTCATGTTTTTGTGACTATGGCTTGCACTTCTGTACAAGAAACAAATACTGAAGCACAGAATCAGTGCTGTAAATGGTTTAATGCACTGCTTACACCCTGGTAAAAAAGAAGAGTTTAAGGAACACAGGAACAAATTTACAAGAGCCATTTTAAAGCCGAGTTGCTGTCTGAGCTCTACTTCCCATTTTGTTTTTCCTGTGTGAATGTAGAAAAAAGTTTTGTTCCTTATACTTCTGGAAATTTGCCTGTGAGTCAAATATTAAGGTTATTAAGCCCATCACTAGTAGGAGGTTAGAAGTTATTTCCTATATTTAAATTACTTTATGTATGAGGCACTAATCAAGCAACAAGGTTTAGTTGGAGACCTTTTGACGACCGCTAGGGTCTTAACTGTACTCACTGCTTGTACTCTGAATACCATGAGAACCTAAGTGGATTTTGAGGAAGACTTTACTAGCTTGATTAAATCACAAAAGCAAACAGCCTCCTGGACTGAGAAGGGGGGTTGGGGCGGGGAGGAAATTAATTTCAAAACCTACCAGTCAAGACAGCAGCATAAGTTCAGGAGAAGACAGATACACCATTATGCTGTGTATACCCTTCAATTTAAAGCCCAGGAAAAAGGTTGTGTTTTTTCCCCCTCCCCAGTGTGTGGTGTTTAAAGGAAGGTAACACCTTTGCAAAACTTCACAGTCAAGTACTGACTGTTTATTTACTTGCCTTCCTGGAGACTGGAGAAGTTGAGAGCTCTATTTTCATACCACAAAACACAAGAAGAGGATCATATTTTAAGTGTTGCTCATTGGTAGTGTTTGGTATATATCAAAATGTTGTGAACAGCTTGAGTTGAATGCAAGCTGAAACCAATAAAAATCTGTAGGATAGCATCTCATCTAATGTGTTTAATAAAAGTTGGATGAACTTTCTATTTGACTCGAAGGAATGTAATCTTTTCCAGATACAACCTGGGTCTTTGTTTATTTTTTTTAAGATATTGCTTAAGGATCAAGGCTTCATAGAGGGCAATGTGTAGAGGGACATTATAAAACAAAGCTCTTCCCACTCAATTCTAGTGGCCAAGAGTCAATAAAAACTGCTTCTAAGAAAGAAGGAAAGTTCTGAAGTGCCTTGAGAACAGACTAAACGGGGGGGCATGACAGCAGATAGTGTCACTCCTGGGATCAGAACTGCAATGCTGCCTGCAACAAACCCAAGACAGCTGCACAGTGGGAGAAAAAGCTCTACACTGGGGCAGCTGGTAAGCTTCAGATAAAACCTGAAGTTTCAGCAGACTGACATAATACAAGCTCTTTCAGTTATTTCCCTTTTAAAGGCAAGTTGCTTGTCTCATGTTATTCACTGCCCCTTCAGCTGTGTTTGTATTCAACCCTTGAACTCCAGGCTGCTAAAAACACAGACATTACCTTGGAGTAAACAATATAGAATTTTCATAATGAAGACTTAAACACATCCATCCATAAAGTTTTGTGCATGGTACAAGAGATTTATGCAGTCAGCCAGCCCCCTCTGGCACACTGGCCTTAAAGCAATCCTAAAGGGAAGGCCACAGCATTCCATAGGCTGCTCTCCCAGTACTACTGTATGAGGGACCACTGAGTGAGCACTGAGAAGTAATTATTCCTGATGGCAGGAAACATCTGTCTAGATCCCCTTTGCTCCAGCAGGGAACATCAGGCAGATGTGAAAGTTGTAATATTTCAGTGCATGCCTGAGTGAACGATTGTTGTAAGGAGGAAGGTGCTTCTCACCACAACCCATGGGGAGAACCAATCTTCTCTTGTTAATCATGATTTTAGGACTCTGATCACATGTTCTCTTTTAGAGACTCCACAGTTTTGAAGCACAGTACTCAAAACTGGACACATTCCAGCAAAGTATTACTAATGCCATGTAAAGCCAAAGGATTATTTTGAGTTTCACAGAAAAATCATGTTAATATGCTGTTTGTTTTCAATGGTGTAACACTGTTGTTTCCTGATATTATTTAAATATTGCTCCTCTTGGGACTACACAAGTAATTGTTCCTATCTTTGTACTTAACTTATTGGAAAATGGCCTAAAAAGCATGTAAATCAAAATTATATGAACTTTAACCTTGACCTTCAACATGTTTGCAACCCCTTTGACATAACAGACTCCTAAGTTCATTTTCTGCTTTAATGTTTAACACCTTTTAGCCTGCTACTCTTTCTCTTACCACGTGCACTACCTATAGGTAATTACCTCCACAGGCATAAGATTTAATAACACAGGCACACCTGGAGACAGGGAGAAGGCAGATATTGAGCAGTAAGGGCTCCTCTTCTTGCCAGGGAAAAGAAAGAACACCTTGACATGATTACAATCAGAAATTACTGGAATTACTCAAGCACCCTAAAGACATCCAAACACTTCCACTGATGGAAGCTGGAGCAGTGCTTAGCATGAACTCTGTTTTTGTAACATTTCATTATATCATACATACTGCTTTCAAGACTACCTACTGATGCCAATGGGAACAGGTGCCTTGCCCCTGCAAATTATTTCAAAGAATAAAAACTCCCAGTCACTGCTCTCTAGTTCCCCTCCCTTTCTCAGTAACTCTCTCAATTTTGCAGGAAAGCCCCTTCTTTTCCTAAAGGAGCAAACCCATTTTCACACTCTCATCCCTCTGTTTCTTGAGCACTCAATCCAGACTTCCATCACCTTGCTGATTCACTAAATCCCACTCTATTCCTTGGCTAGCTGGCAAAGCCCTGGATGTGAGTGCTTGTGGGGCTGTAGTGTACTGACCCCATTCAGGGTGGAAGTGGGGGCTGATGGTGTACAGGATAACTGCCCTAAGGCAGTAGGGAAGGTTTTCCTAGAGCAGGAAAGTGCAGGAATAAGGGCACGTTTACCCAAGTCACAGAACTCTGCCCTGTCTTCCCACTGGACAGCCTTCTCTCTAACACCTTCAAATATTCCCAGAAGCAAGTAAAACTTCCTAAAAGGTCACAGTTCCCGTGTTATTCACATGAGAACCAGATTTTCTGAAAAAACGTCTGTTTTTAAACTAATCTTTGAACTCAAAAGCATAAACTCCTAGACTGCCATGCTCTTGTGACACAGTTTTTAAACCACTCGGCAAAGTCCCTCTTCACTCTCTATTTTACATTTCTTCAGTCACAGCAGCAGGACTGCTATGGACCTTGTACCTGAAACTTCAACAGTGAATAATGCTCCCAGGATACAGAAATTGTATTGAATGATTTTCAATTATTTGAGAATCTACTTATACAAGAAAATTACCAAATATCACCTTTAGGAAGAAACAATTGTTGATAGTAAGGGAGCAAGTGCAGAAAGAATACATCGTAAGGTAAAGAGAAATAGAAGCAGGAAGTATCTCCCTTTTTATGTAATGCTGTAAGTTCTTTAAACAACTGATAATCATTGGCCTAATGCTGTTGTCATTGCATAATTCTTGATGATTTCTGTGCCTTTGGGACGTGTATATTTGAGAATTAACTAATCAAAGTAACTTTAGGCCTCAAGTGCCAAGATCATTTCCATATAGAACAGTGGGTTGAAAAATTACATCTGCTTCAGTGATGACTGTCCCACATAAACACTGACTGGGTTGTGAAACCAGAGAAGTCATTCAGCTGTGTATAGTTGAAACACCACTCTTATCTGTAATGTTGCCAAAGTAGCAAGATGATTGATTGGCTGGTGGTCCTCATTCACTGAGAAGTTTTGTTTTACTGCTGAGGTGATTCATTACACCAAGTTTTGCTTGAATCTGGTGTCCTTCCACAGATTTCTAGCCTGACAACCTCTAATTACAGTTTTTAAAGAAACTGTATTTAATTACCACTACTAAATTTAAGTGCTAGTTACTGTTTCTAGGCAGGAAGAGATATATAAGCAGGCTACATACTAAAATTATATAATTACACTTCCAATGTTTTCCTGACTCTGAGATCTCCATCTTACATTGAGGAAGAAAAGAGTTTTTATGCATATTTCCTTTTAAAATTCAAACTTATCCAATCTGCTATCACAGCAGGTCACACTGACATAACACGTTCAAGCATAAAGCTGGAGCCCTCAGACACATGAAGTTAATGTTTTCTCTAGAGCAAATTGTGTAATTGGTAAAAGCAACAGCCTTAACTTCCAGATAGCCACATCTGGAGTGGGGGAGAGAAAAACACACCCTGACAGTGAATTGTATGACTGGCTTCTAAAGCAGGAAACAGCAAGACTCAGGCTTTTAAGCTCAATTTTAAATGCCTTACAGCAATACTTCCAGTAACTGCAGGTACCTTTCCATGTTCTCTCTCTCTCTATTCCTCCAGCTTCTTCTGCTCGTCTCCCACCCATCATTTCTCAGCCTATCCTGCACTACTTGTACATTTATAAATATGCCTATACCCCTTTTATTTCCCCCTTTGACTCAGAAACAGACATATTTTTAAAAATTATTATTGTATGTTTTTTAACATAATAGATTACCTAGGAAAGTCTACGTGACTTTCCAAGCCAACAAAGCAATGGGTCAAATTCACCCATGGATTATCTCCCACATATTCAGTGGACTAATCTGGGGGGAATTTGGCTCTAAGACTTTTATTAGAAGTTTATTACATTCACAAGTAATTTACCAAATAAAATTTTAAAGTCATCCAGTAACACGGGGAATAACATCACAAGCAAACATCTGAACGTGAAGCAGATTAAACAAGCAGCTGCCAAGGGCAATAAACTAATAAAGAAATGTAGATGTGTTTGACTTAGCCAGACAGACATTTATTGGAAGTCAAGATTAGTAAGCCTTACCACTTAGAGTTACATGATCGTCTTTGGAGGCACTCTGTGTTTCTTTTAACTGGATCTCTGAGCTCACATCCACTTTTCTTCCAGACAGCTCTAAATAGGCTTTGAGAGATGCAGGTACCTTGACTGTAATTGAACCTAGTATAAATTTAAGTGAAAGCTAGTTAGTTTAATCATGAGATCAAAGCATGAAATAGTCCATTATTTCACTAACTTGAATCAAACCATCATTTGGTTGTGCTTGGTTGGGTTTTTTGAAAAGTCTTCAGAAACAGTAGCCTCTTTTTTTTTTTTTGGTCACTGAAAGGATAAATGAAAGGATATATGTTTATGATAAATGAAGGTATCTTTATTTATCATAAACAGAGTATGTCACATGTAGAAAATGGTATCACAGTATTTCCTTCACAGACTTGAAAATAAATAGTGACATATACATCAAGCAATGTTTTTTGGTAGAGGATCTTATTACAGGAAGGATCAAGGGAAACAAATATAAAATATCTCACAGGTATTATGAATTTAAGTTCATCTTCTAGTTGCATATTGACATTCCAGAGCAAGGACAGGGCCTCAGACTTGACAAATAACTCAGTCACTGCATGGCACACGATCAAAGAATTGCTGCTCTGGAAGGATGAGATACTGCTCACTCACTGTGAACACTGGCAATTGTCTTTGCTTTACTGCTTAGGGCCAGCTGTTCACATCCTCCAACAGATGCAGTCTCAAAACTGACTAACCAGTTTAGACTACGCATCACTAAAATGTAAACTAGTAGCAAAATTGCAGCTTTGGTGGCCTGAATAATTCTACTTTGAGATTAAAACTAGAAATTCTGACTTCTGCTTGCCCAAATATGTGCATCTATGCATCAGGCCAAAGGCAGACACTGGGCCCCCAAGCTGCCCACATTAGTCATCTTTGGAATAACTCAGTCACAAAGTTTGAAAGCTCTCTCCTACACATTAGATCAAAAACCTGAGAAATTAAGAATACACTGCCTTTTTATGTGCTCCTTAGTTTTTGCTCAATATCACCAATCACTATAGAAGAACATAAAAGTTTCCTGACATACATCCCAGATGCTTAAGCAGAACATGGTAAAAAATACAGCTAAGAAGCACCAGAAAGCAACCCTAGTTAGACACAGCAAAATCACTTGCCTGTGACAGTTCTGATGAACAAATAACTTCCAGTATAATTTAGGCCTGCATTTTGCTGGATACACAAAAGCCTTAGAATAAGAAAGGGAAAAGGTCTTCATCTTTGGATCCTCGTTAGACAGTTGCTCAGTGATGACTCATAAAAACCGACACACATGCAGCTCATTTATCACAAATGGGACATTTTCTACACTGCAGCTGTCAGCAGTTATTCTGAATTTACAGGGTAAACAGAAACAGAACTTCAACTTTGCCTTTACTAAACTGTGCTGCCAGAAGAGACATTAGAAAATATTTTGAAAACATTAATTAGCTTTTATTGAATACATTCCTCTTTTCTTCTAGCTCAAAGAGATATTAACTTAGCAAAATAAGTGATACAAAAGGTAAGCAAGAAATAATTTAAACAAACTTCTTTGCACTAATGAAGCCAAACTATATTGTACAGAAGGATGCACAAATTATTTCAATTCATTGACACCATGAGTCCCATTTTGAGTAACTGTTAGGTTTTAACAGGGCACAGGCTTTGTTTCACAGGAAACAGAAGTGGACCAAATACCATGCTTAAACTACCAGAAGTGACTGACATGACATTAAAGTCAAGTGTAGAAATGCTGTGGTGTGTTTTAGCTTGTTTGGGATTTTTTTTTTTTTGTTTGCATTTTGGGTTTTTTGGGGGTTTTTTTTCCTTTTTTTTTTTCCCAAACTAGGATTAACAAGATGTATTCGTTGCTTTGTAACTCACAGCATCATCTTTTCAGAATAACAAAACTATGAATTCAACTTTAGGCGTGAGTTTTTAACTAAGAGGGGAAATTTTAGTGAGTAAGCAGGAGAGAAAATGAAGGAAAATGGTAATGTAAGGTTCTCCCATCTTTGTTTTTCTGCCTTCAAATTTTTATAGTAAGACATTTCAGTCAGAAGGCAAGAAAAATAAATGTATGTGTGTCAGTTATCACTGCATATACAGCATCATGGAGAAAATTGTGCTTAAGACAAAGGAACACTGTAACCCCAGTCAACTCTGCGGAATTCTGCTGGGCATATTGCCAGGAAAAAAAAAAAATTGAAAACACAAAACACATTTAATCTATCTTAAGTCTTCTTGTCCCTTACAGAGCTTATTGTATTTTGAGTATTTATAGACATCTTCCAATAATGATGCAAAAATAAAAAGTAAATAACCAACAATCACAAACTATTTTTTACATATAAAAAAGCCCCAAAACAAACTCTTATTTTCTTTTCTTTCACATCAAAATCTGCCACAAAAAATATTTGTTGTAGTTTGCTAACCTTTCTGGGATTTCAGATCCACTTTTCTTAATTGACTGACATAAACATCTATTGTTCCATGATATGTAGAAGCTTTTAGACTTCCATCTGATGAATCTAAAAAACAAAAGAAAAGAACTTGTATATTATTCACTCTTTTAAAGTAAACATTTCCCAAAATCTCTTTATATCTCAAACTAATTTTTATCAATTCCTCTGTGTTTGAGAAGTATCATAATAATTTACAGGCTGTCAGCCTTCACTTGGAATAACAGGTTTCTGAAAAAAACCTATCTCCCAACTCCAGAACTGGGGCACACACTGGTTCTCAGCCTGTTGCTCTGCAGTTGTTCTACATCTACAAGGCCCAACTGTACATCTTTCTACAGGAATGTCTTTATCTTTGTGTGAAAATCAAGCACAAAACTTGAATACTAAGATATCCTTTAGTTTCCAGAAGAGTTCATTTGCTCAAATTCAGTGCAGGGAGAATTTTACCCAGGAAAGCTACCCCATGCAAAAAACAAGCAGCTGCTCACTGCAACCTCTTGTTACACAGAATAACTGAACACAGGCTTTCTAAAGTCTGATTCACTACATTTGAATTATCAACAAATGTTTAGTATGTGCAGGAAAACAGCATTTGCTCTGTGCCTTGGAACAGAGAAGCCTAACTTTTCTTCTATACCTTATCAGCAGAAATTTATCATCATAAAACTGTGTGAAGAAGCATTTTTACAAATAGAAAGTTTTTAAGAAGCTTTAACTGTACACTTGAGTAGTCTTTATTTGCAATGTATTCCAATTTTAAATACATAGACTTCCATAGTATTAAGCAAAGTCCCAAAGAGTTTACCTTCAAACTACTGAACAAGCTTATACCTAATAAGAATTGCAAAGAAATTATAAAAAAATCTAGAGGAGCACAAAAAAATTACCTTGGTACACCAGCAAAAGGCAGTTACTGAGAGGTATTTTTAGAGACAATGGTAGAAATTCAAGTATTGGCAAGCAATTCTGAGACACTTATAGAGACTGGTTTCTGAATATGCATAGAAAAAAACCCAACAGTCAAACTGTTAGAAGTAGCTAATAAAATAAAACTTGAATGAAACTTGCCATTTTAAGAAGTAAATGCATTAATGAGAGAATGAACTTGATTAATTAACAAGGATGTCTCATATTAACATTTCATGCTTGCCATACAGTTTTACCTCTAAGTAAACTCATCTGGAGCTTTTCTGATCCCAGGTTTCAAGCACAGATGCCAAAGATCAGTGCATTGCTTACAATAGCAAAAACACAGAAAAGAATCTTTATCCCACAGCTAAAGCTGATTTCTTTGGAAGAGAAAGTAATCAAAAAAACCCCACCTAATCCATACTTAGTCAGCTGAGAAACTGAGAAGAGCTTTGACTGAAAAGAAAACATTAAAAACTAGAACTGGATGTGAATGCTTCTGCCATTTCAAGACTATGTACTAAAGGTCTGTTTGATATCTGAAAAAAGAAAATTAACGCTTCATTAATAATGACGAGTTTTGCTTGTCTAAGTGAAAATGAAATGTTGATTTTAACTGTTGATTTTTTTAAAAGGTTCTCATAATAGTTGAAAAGTTAAAATCATTAGAACTGGAAAATTTTACATGCATCAACCTTTTTAATGCATGTTTTAAGCAGTGATCTTTAGAAGTTTTCATGCAAAAGCTGTTTTTGCAGATATTCCCCATCATATTTAGTAACAGCCAATTACCCATTCTACATAACCTTGACAGAGATTTTGTTGGCAACAGATACAGGAAACATCCAGCCTTTGACTCTTCTGCTTCAAACAGAAGCTATAATAAGTTCCTTTATCTATTCTAGGAAGAAAGAAAAGTCTCCTGTGACAGAACAGCAGCTCTCTCCAGGGAGAACATCAAATGGTCACATACCACCAGCTGATGGTGCTTTAGAGGGACAACATTTATGCACTGAAGCCTTTCTCTTCCCACTTCTCAAATGCAAAAGCAGCTCCTTTGAGATTCTTCCCAGCAGAAAGATACTTTTGTGAATCTGCAAGACTGAACAAAGTGTTCTTTCCTAGATCTTCAATTAATAAATATTAAAATAAAAAGAATTCCTGTTTTGTGAGAGACTGCATTGTGTTTGCAGAAGGCATCAAGACTAATAAAGGATGCAGGAGGAGGACAACAGGAACAAGCTCACTAAGGCACAGATTTACCAAGAAAGCCAAAAACAACCTTGAGGGAAATGGAACACTTTTCCATTGAAAAGTGGAAGGATGGCTTGCCCAGATTTTGACTCCCAGAGTACCTTTGTACTAATACAAAGTTTCCTATGGCTGAAGAAACTTCAGTAGAGTTTCAAAACCACCAAAAAGCTTGGCAGCACTAACCAAACACTAAACCTGGCACTACAATATTGTGCAGTAAACAACTGTTAAGCTTTGACCTATGGAAGTAACATGAAATATATTTTATGGAAACAATGAAATATTATTTATTTATTATTTATATTATTCATTATATTATGTAATGAATGGTACAGATATGATATTAAATACAAGTGTGTAGATACAATTAATAATACCAAGACACAAGGAATTGTTCATCACTTCTGCAAAGTCCATAAAGATGCTGTTTAAAGTTTGTATCTGTAACTTAAATAAAGGGGAATAAAAAGAAAATGGATTTTAAAAAAACCCAAAGAGTGCCCAAATCCAGAAAAATAAATATTTCAACAATGAAAAATGACCCTATGTTAAGAAGTATAGGCTGATAGGATAAAATACATAACAAATAGTAACAGAGACAATACATATTTTATGGTTATGACAGATCAAACCTTAAGCAATTTATTTTCAAATATATACCCAGTGCTAGCTGATATAAATGTGAGTAACTGAAGGTAAAAATAAGGAAAAAATGAATAGTTTAAATTCAGAGTTTGCTAAGGACCGACAGGGGAAAAGGTTTTCTCCAGGTTTTTCAAGGGGGAGAACAAGGACAAAGACTTTTACTAGAAATGGAGCAGATGGTCAGTCTTGTGCAGCTTTAGCTATTTAAGAATTTACTGGTACTAGAGAAAAAAGATGAAAAAAAAGGGCACAGTGAAGCAAGATGTCCTTGGAAGGCCAAAAGTCTTTGTTAAGTTTTATGAAAATTAAATAGAGCTTGAAGAATAAAACCTAAGTCACATAACTTGAGAAAGACTGCACAAAAAGATCAGTGAAAGGCCTACAAAGATAACATTTAGTACCACTTCTCCCTTCACTTTATCAGCCTAGCACTAAAGAAAGGATTAAACAGAAGTGATCTTTACTTAAATCTAAGCAAAAACATGCTTTTCCCAATAGCACCTAAAGACTGACCTTGTTCATGGTAAAATCAGTGACAAAATCTATCTCTATAGGAACACAATATTTATTATGATTTGATTACAGACTGGAGGAATTCCAACATATCTGAAGTATGATGAAGATTGAATTCCTGCTTATCTAGCAATCTAGTATTTCTTATTGATAGAAAACTGGCAAAAATTCTTGGTTTAGTTGGTTGTTCTAAAACTGTCATATGAAAAGTATTATAAGAAACTTAAATGTATTCATTAATAGACTTCACTATTATTTATTATTTAGAATTCACTAAATTGTACACAATACTGAAAAATCCTTAGCAGTCCTGACCATACTCACCATGGGGACCTGGCAGAACAAATGATGCCACACACAAAGCAAAGAAATCCCTCAAGAAAACACTTATTTTCCTAACTAAATTATCCAGACTATCCATTTTCTACCCCAACTTTAAGCTATATCCATTGGTTGTAAAGGCCATAGTCTTTTTGATAAATTACTCTGGTCCAAAAAAGCCCAAACAACCAAAGCACCTGGCTTGCCTAGTTTGGAGAAAAGGAAGCTGGGGGTGACCTCATTACTCTCTGCAGCTTCCTGGGAAGGGGAAGGGCACAAGGAGATGCTGAGCTTTTCTCCCTGGTGTCCAGTGAAATGTTACATGGAAATGGTTCTTTTTTAGGAAGCACTTTTTTACAGATAGAGTGGTCAAACACTGGAACAGGGCTCCCAGAGAGGCTCATGCCCTAAGCCTGTTAGTGTTTAAGAGCCCCTAAACAAGACACTTCAACTCTTGGCCAGGCAGCTGGACTGGATGATCACTCTAGGTCCCTTCCAACTGAAATAAGGGATCAGGCCTTGAGCAAAGTGGTTGAGTAAGAGGTGTTCTCACATTTTTAGAGTTGAAAGTCTGGATCTTAAAAGTCTTTTACCTTTAGAAAAAGCTATAATATTACCAGGGATGTTTAGTGCTCTTTAGGAAAAGATTAAGTCTATTTAGTGCTGTTAGAATTTAAATCTGAAAAATAAAGTTTCTTCAACTCTAAGATGTGGCTTAATGCTTAAGCTGAACCTGGTTAGTTAAGGAAAATAATCATCATCTGTTGATGGAAAAAGCTACCTCCTATATTAAGAAACCTTTATTTAAACACTCTTCATACCCTATGAGTTTATTTAAGAGAAGGAAAAACAGCTCTGCAAGTTGAATTTAATTCTGTGGTTTAATGACTAACTCATAAGAATGTGTCTTGCATTCTTTTTCCAGGAATGCTAATATAGAGCTCTTAGAAACATAAGAAGAGTTGTTAACAGTCCGTGAACACATCTTAGAGACTGACCCTGAAACATGCTTAGTGAGTGACTACAGTTAACAGCATCAGCAAAAGTCTTCAAGATTTGGGCCTGAGGAAATCTTTCTACATTCAGTAGATACACTGAGCCTTGTCGATGATTCTGTTACTCCAGTCTTCTGCTATAGCAATAAATAGAATTTTAGTTTCTCACTTTGGTGTTTGTGTGCTATAAGATGCACTGACAGAAGGTATACCAGAACTGATAGCTATGAGTTATCCTGCCATATAAATGCCCAGGTTCCCAAAAATAAGTTTATGAGCTATTTTCATTTCTAAAGGGAAAACTATTAGCATAATAGTTTGAAAACACTGAAATTATCACAAGCCTTCCCATCACCTCCCCAAATAAGTAATATATTGATTATTAGCTTCCTGATATAAAAATTAAACACAGCTAATCACTGATAGCAATAAATGTGAGAGAGAACTACAGTAAGGGCACAACTGCATTTGATGCAGACTTGAGAATTTTCTCATACCCTTTTATCCCATCTATATCTAAAAGATGACAGCTAGACTCAGTCTCACTTGTGCAAAGTCCAGAAAACATTTGGTATCAAGTGATACCATGTGCCTCGCCCAGCCACAAAAGGCTGAGTTTGGAAAGAGTCTTATTCAGCTACACTTATCAGTGCTACTCCTGAAAAGGAGGCAAAAACATCTGTGTGAAATCACCTCCTTTTTATTTCCCTTGGGAATATTTAGCCTTTAGAAAGGAGAAGGGAAGAGCAAGAGAGAGAGAGAGAGAGAAAAGGCAGAACCTACCCACTGTGATACTCCCTCTTTTGGTCTGAAGGCTGGTATTACCTGTAATGAAAAAGGGGAAAATGTTAAAAACATATTATTGAAACATATTAATTATTAATTTTAATCTTGTTGCTTTACAAACAAAAGTCTTAACTCATGTGGGTAACAATTAAGTGATTCCAGACAAAAAAAACATTGAATAAATTCAAAGACACCACCTGGATTTCAGGGAGAAAAAAAACGTAGACAGGCATGTACAAGGCTAATGCACAATATTGTCTTAGCTTACTTTGAGCAATTTTTTGTTAATTGCTCTGATGCTTGCAACAACACTACAGATGATTTAAGTTCAACTGCATAAATAATAAACAGTTTCTATTTTCCTCTTTTATATACCTATACCTGATTTCTGATGGAGGGAATCTTGTGTTATCTGCAAAGGCAACTTCCTGGACCCACTGAACATTTCCTACTCTCTCCAAACTTATTCTTTTGTGCATGACAACCCCTTGTCAACATTTCCGTTGACTTCAGTTGGAAGAATATGTTGGACAAAGTGGAGACATCAATCAAAGTGTGTAAGGCACAAAATGCAAAATGGTCTTCTACTAAACTTGCATCACTTTAAACAGGCACAGGTGTTCCAGCCTCAAAATTTCAAAACACTTATTCTGCACTTTCACCTATCAAGAGCATCTGGAAGGACAACAGATATACCTCCTAACAGAAGAGACATCTTTATTACTAATAGTCTAACTAAATTGTAGAAACGTCTCCATTTCCATGCATAAATGGGTCACAGGAAATGCTCTAAATTAAAAACTAAACCACACCATGTCATCCCTGCCATTCTCTCATCCTCCCAAGAGACAGACAGAATGGAGACTAAGGCTGATCACAGAAACTGAGTGCAGTTTAGTAATACACAGTAGCCATCATTTTCAGATCTTTCAGAAAAGGTTTTAAAAGTTGCAGACGGATTAAGCCCTGCCCTATCTTGTGTAATTACAGAGTGGTAAACAATCATTAGGGCAGAGTGCATTCCACTGTATATGACCTGTATTTTTCTTAGTGGTTCATGGGCTGAAAACTAGAAAAGCAGCCTATCATCAACAGTCTTAAATTCATCTTTTCAAGCACATACTGTACAAAATACTTTGGAGTTCTAAAAATCAGAGAAGAAACAAGAGCATTTTTCAATGACCTTGAAAGATGTTTGGCTTCATTCTTTGCTGTTTTTAAAAGCCATGCTATAATTATATCATCCTTTTCCTCATTTTATCATGACTGGCACTTAGTTTGGTACAACCTACAAAAAGACCTCGGGTTTTGTCAGCCAGCAGCTCCCATGGAGCAGCTGAAGGTAGATTATACTCTGTCAGCATATAGCTCCTGTGTCTGTTCATTTTTCTGGGGTTTTTTTTACCTGTTTTGATAAGTAGATCCTTGAAGAATATTCAACATGTAGAAATCAAATTCCATTTAGATACATACTTATATGGCAGAAGCACCAGTGCCGAGCAATGTCAACACAATGTATTGGTGTGAAAAGCTCACTCCAAACCTCTAGCTAGAACAAAAGCTGCTTTTAAGCAGACAGGAATGTCCTGCACTGTCCATCAACAGTGCACAGAACTGCACTTTTGGTCATGTACCTGTTCTCTGAAGGCCAACACAACTTAGGATTTTAAGTTAGGCAAGTATTTCTTGGGCGTATCAAGGGCAAAGAGAGAAAGTCCAGACTAAAGGTAATTAAACCAAATAATTGATTATTACAATCAACTGATTTCAGCATCGTAATGCATGCAATGCACTATTATATTCAAAACATAATTTTATCAGAATATTGAGAGCAGTGCCTTAGTGTTTTGGGGGTTTGTTGCTTCTGAAGAAAGAGTTATCTTTTCTATCATCTACAATCTTGGCTTCTTCAATGAGCACTGTAAAATTTCAAATTACAGTATTGCAATCAGCATTGTACAGGACCCAGGACAAAAGATGCCTTTTGGGATATAAAGGCAATACTTTATGCTGTGTGATTTATATTCCTTCAATTTGTTTTGCAGGCTCTTAACAAGGCAGGATTATGTCAATGCAGAAAAAAAAGGAAAATAAACCATTATGCAACTTTGTACCACTTTAGAAATGAATTTTTTCACTTTTTTATAGACATGTCTGTACTTTAATCTGATGAAAATGTGAAATGTGAAGCTACAATTCCACTCTACGTACAGTGAAATCCAGAAATGTAGGGAACACATTTAAGTATACTTATACTTTGGTATATCAAGAGGTATATTTTCTGGAGGGATCATAGAACTCCAAGCTCAAGCACTGGACTGCCCTGCCTTTGGAAGATGGCAGATATTTTACTTTGTCTTATTCAAGCAATTGACAAGGCAGCTGTATGTTCACTCCTGTATATAAATTAGTGTGCAAATATATAAAGTAACCTCAACAACTTTGTTATCCAGTGTGATTCTTTTAGATAATTGAATAGTTACTGGACTATGACAGAAGGAAAGGTCAAGAGCAAATATGAAGTCCATCACAGCCTTTACTGACATAAAGCAGTGAAAGCTGAGTGCCAACTGTTTGCAAGGAAGCTTTGCAGGTAAGGACTGGGCACCTTGACGGGCACCATCTCCAGTGGGAGTGAGTAAAGAAAGCCAGCTGCACACTGAGCTGTGTGATCAGGAGTACAGACAGCAAGTAAAGCCCCCCTGTGAGGCTGCCACTTGGAATATTGTGTCCAGTTTTGTGTCAAAAAAGACACTGGTGTACTTAACTAAGAGAAGATCAGGAATCCAGACCAAGCTACAAATGCTCTGAGAGCATCTGTTTGTTTTGCTTTAAAAGGAGAAGGCTGAGAAGGAATCTTCTTGTGGCCTTCAACTACCTAATGGGAGTGTATAGAGAAAAAAAGACATTCTTCTCATGGTGATGGAGCAAGAAGAAGGAAGGAGTAGCAATAATGGATACAGGTCATAATGGAAGTTATGATCAAAAATTTTCTTTTTTTTCCCCACCAGAAGAATAATTCAGGAATGGACCAAGATGTTCAGAAAGCTCATACAATCTCTGGACTTGAAAATACTCAACTAGACAAGGCCTTGAGCAAGCTTGGTCCAATTGAGCTCACTTTAAACATTAGCTAGGAAGGAATTTGATATCTAGTCCAAATTTAAACTAGATTTATAAGTTGATAGTTAATGCAACTCTGCATTAACTGCATGGGACTGCTGCAAAGAAGGGTTCACCTATTCCTTCCATGTGCCCCTTGGTAGAGAAGGTTCACTGTAATGTTATTGTCTTTTAGATAAAGAAGAAATTTCTCAGGATCAAATTTCTTTTTCAGGTGTCAACTCAAAAGCTTAATAGCGCCTGATATCTCTAATGCCCATTACAGAAGCTGATGAAATTTACCCAAAACTAACTCCTTTCAAAACAGTGCATTACTCATTTGTCACAGGAGCATGAAGCATGCAAATTGTGAAAGTCTGAACTCTACCAGTGTCAGGATTGTTGAAACAGCCTGAGTTTCAACCACAAAATGTGTCTCAGACAGGTTTGTAAAGTCTGTGCTGCCTTAACTTCAATTTTCCCAGTGCAAAAGCAATGAAATCTAGCTTAGTTTTGTGCAGGACGTGCTGATTTGGTGCCATCTATAGTGTCAGCTGTAGGGAAATGCTGATTTTAGTTGCCCAAGAAACAATCTGTCCAGGTACTCACAGACAAAACTATTGCAGTTGAGCTACTTTGTGAGCAAAAATCAGAAGTGAAAGTAACCATTTTTTCTAGCAGAAATTTATAGTAGGAATTATCTTGTCTGTTAATACATGTTTGTATGTGTATTTTAAAAGCCTTGGCCCTTAGTATTAAAACATGATTGGAGAACATGATATTTTACAGAAAATATTTTCTTGTCAAAAAATAGGGTAAAATTACCAAGCAAATGTTAATGTGCAATATTTAAAAAAAACATACAGCTAAAATAACATTAGGTGTTCCAAGCCCATTTAGTAGAGAGGTCATAAAAATAATCCTCAACATAAGAAATGTCTACATAATTTGGATACAATTCTATTTGCTTTCACATTGTTCTTCAGCTCAATGGCAACAGCATTACTGAAGAAAGTAAGTTATTAACTACAGCAGTTATGAATTCATTTTTGTAACAAGAAAATAAAAATTAACTACTGGATGTGGACTAAGATGTGAACCTGCTCACAAATTGATCACTCCACAATATAATTATATCGTATAAAGTAAGAAAAACCAGCACAGCTTATCAGACAGAAGTTCCAGAAATAATACAAGCCTACATGTTAGAAAAATACAGTAACAGGAGAAAAAGCAGTTTATTTCTGTCCGTGCATGCTAAAATTAACTTTACCTAACAGGTTTAGAAACCATTCTCACATTTAATATAAATGGACAAAGGAGTTGCTCCTCAAGGAAGAAAGAAGTTGTTTCTCAAACAAGATGACAACATAAAATTGCTAAGAAATTGTAACAAATTCCTTCTAAGGGATATAGCTGAAAATCTGGAACTCTGACAGAACCAAGTAATTTTCTTTGTACATCTTCCAGTTTGTTTTACTCAGTGTTAAATCACCACAAATGCTTTACAGCACAGTCTGAATTCAATGGGAATTTTGTTACATTAGAAAACCACAACAGATTTGAACCTCAGCTGCTGTTTAAATGAAATACTCTGCAGTTTATTAGTTTTAGATCTAAGGGAAGGACAACAAAGAGTGGATGGTTTAGAGACTGCTAAGAAGTTCTAAGAACTTCTTCTAAAAACCAAAACTCTCACCATGCTTAATATAAGGTGCCAGCAAACACACAGGCTATTTCTAATAAAAACTTCTAATTATGACTCTCTCCTACAATAGTTCTTGGTAGATGATCTGTGTTGAGTTAGAGTTGCTTCTCCTATGAAGAAAATAAATAATAGGGAAGGGGGAAGAGAAGCCTCCTGACAACTTTTAATATCATTTTCATTGCTGAATTTTAGAATATTTTGTTGTTCTCAGCATGTGTGACATTTCTTTCATATAATATATGGTTTTTGCTATTAATAAGTGTGCTTAAAAAAAACTGCTTTCAAAAATACAGTCTGCTAGGTGGCAAAAAATCCATTAAGTCTCTAAGAGAAATTAGAACTGTTTTGCTTGTATACTGTGCACAGCTGATGTAGTGATAGTCTACTGCATTAGTCCATTTGTTACTGTGAACATTCCTGAACACCTTCAAAGCAGCCTCATTTGTGACAGGTTTCCTTCTTACCATGAACACTTCCCAGCATAATATCACCAGATTCTGAAGAGAGAGATGCTGATTCTGCATAGAGATACTTAGTTTTCAGCAGCCCATCTTCAGTAGATATATTGATGGTTGTCCCCTGCAGCTTCTCTATATTTACACTCTAGGAGAAATAAACACAATCAACAATTTGTCATCACAGCTTGAAAAAGCAGTGGAAAGTAACACTGTTAAGACACAAAACAAATGGAAAGCAGTTGTTGGTGCAAGACAAATGGAATCAGTTTCTTAGTTAAAAACTACACAAGACAAAACAAAAAAAACTTTTCATCCAAGAGCTCTAACTTAAAAACTAATGATTCTTCACAATATTCCTATGAGTTATTGCATCCACAGTTCAGGTGAAGAACCCAAGTAGTCACAAACAGATGAAAGAAAAGCTTAATTTAATTTTCAAAACTTAAACACTTCATTTCGAAAAATAAAATGAAGGATTAGCTTTAATTATGAAGACTGAATCTTCCTACAGCATTAAGGCACTTGGAGCCCTGGTGATCAATTTTCTGCCACCACAAATTGAAACATCCTCTGTCTTTGTTACACACAGCTATTTATGAAGATTTTTAACTGGCTTACTTTGTAGATATATCTTTGGTGAAGGTTTGCAAAAAAACCCCACCCAGCTGTCCTTTTTCTCAGTATAATTTTCCTATTACCTTGGTTACTCAGGCTTCTATCCTTGGACTTAAGCCAAAGACAGACAAAGCCTTGAAAAACCAGGGATAAGATCTCCATTTCTACTTCTTTTCAATAGAAACAGAGAGAAAGGATAGAATATAAAAAGCTGCACTATGCATTTGAGAAATAAAAGGCAACAGATGAGATTATACAAAAGTGATGAGCCACATGATATAATGTCAATGTATTTGAAAAAACAGAACAATTCACATACTTGTGCAACAGCAGTATGAAACTGAACTCTATTCTCAGTTAAATTTGATTTATGATAGAAAAATGCAATACCCTGCTCAGTTTGTTTTTATTTTGCTTATGCAGACTTTCAGTGAATGGCACAAAATCCTTATTTATTACACAAAACATTACATGGCTTTCTAGATGAAACTGTGCCTTACTCAAATGATTTTTAAATTCTCCATGTCATTTTAGCATTGTCATCTTGTGCAAACAAAAGTTGATCTAAAAAAATAAGTCTGTCAACCCTTCCAGTCTAATATAATATAAAGAATAAGCTATGGATGAACAAAGAGATATTCTGACAAATTAGCCACTAGTGTTGCACAAACTCAGTACTGCATTGTATCCCAAAAACTGAGCTGAAGAGGCTGGTTTAGTATGGACTATATGACAGCCAAATTATACTCTGGTCTTACCCATCCATTCATGCTGAACTACTAAATGATAAGATTACAGAATGGACTACCAGCTTAAGACTTTTCCCATGATGCTCCAATGCTGATTAGATCTCCAATAATTTAGTAAGATACATTGAACTTTAATAAAATCAAAACGCTATGCATAACCTATGGTAGAAATAAAAATTACCTGACAGTCAATGTCTACAATCACTGCAGGTGCTGCTGCTTAGAGCTGTGCTTCAGATATAAACAAAACCCAAAAATAAAGGCACAGCTTGTCACTATTGAAACAGCCAATTCAGCTTTTCATCTTCTCCTGCTTGCAACAAAACCCTAATAACCAGAGATCTTAAACATTAATTGACATTGCATTTGTCCTAGGAATGCTTCCCACAAAGTGTTCCCCCCACTCCCCAACCCTGCATGGCAAAGTGCAAATCTGCTGTGACACCTGGCCACAGCAGCAAGTAAAGGTTGTTTCAGAACAGCCCAAATCAGGATATGGGCATGGAGGAGGTGGCAGTCAGACTGCTCAAGCATAAGAATAAAAATGTATTTTGGATGGGGAAAGCATGGAAAAATAGGATTGCTTTTCAGTGAAAATAAATATGTTTTCAATCCCAAATTCTTTAACTCTTGTGGATTTTTGGCAGAACATAGATGTCTGGCTCAACAAAGCAAGTGTTATAGAAAAGTCCCCATGGCATAGATTAGCTAATAACTCCCCAGCCAAACAAATTTCTTTATTTTTGTCCATTGAATGACCAGAACTTCTGGAAAAAATTCCTTCCCTTAGACATAGAGCCTTGGGGGTTGCAGTTACTGAAACTGACCACATGCTCAAGTTCCACTGGTTTCATCTGTATAAAAGCCAGAATGAGAAGGTTTTACACCTGAACACATTTTCAAGATAAAAACTAACATCTTGCTATGTTTAGGTAAGACATATACAGTTCCTTCTCCATATATTCCTGCTCTTGGCCTTCCTTTTTGCGCTATAATTGTTCAAATGTTTTTCCAGTGTCTTGTCCCACCTCCCTCCTTAAAAAATATTCTTTTCTCAAGTGCTTAGTGCCTTGTACCACATCCTCTCCCTCCCCACCTCCAGGAGGGGGCTGGAAATGCTGACAGAGCCACAATTACATAATGACAACTGCAACTGGTGGAAGAAACATCTCATACAAACACACAGAGGAGACATAAGGCTGACTGATTATTAACAGAAGTGGCCAGTTGAGAAAAGAAATATCTGTCCTTCCTAACCACACTACAAAGTTTGTTAGTGAGAAGTTCAATAACATAAGCCAAAATATTGTTCTGTAGCCGTGAATTTGTGCTAAAATGACTCACCTCACTCAAGTTACTACAGTTTTACAGCTCTAATATTGACTTCTTGTAATATTACATATGATGTACAAATATTTATGATCACAAAGAAGCACTTCCACTTAATCTGTATGACATTTGTTTTATTGTTTCTGAAAAGAGCTAATTTTTTTAAAGCACTTTAAGGCTCAAAGTAAAACAATTCTCTGAACTGTGTTTTCCCATACAGATACAATTATTACATAAAAGGCAGTCCAACACCCACTTCCAAAGAAACACAGATAAATTAATGCCGACAGGTTTTGGAAAATCCAAAGGCAATTTGCTGAGTTTACAGCAGGACATTAAGAACAGCTCACAGCTGGCTCTAGGTAAGTGAATTGCTCTGGGAACCCAATCCTCATGGTGTACAACAGTGCCAAACAGCACTTCACAGAGGTGACTCTGGATGACTGGAACTTACTAGCTTGGTCTCAAATCTATCCTTGGCAAGGGTGAATTACCCCCACTCTCTGACTCTTCCTAGTGCTGTTGGTTTAAAGGGTGCCTATGGATTCTGACAGAGCACACATCCAAGCTGCTTCCAGCCTCAGCTTGGCTCCCCACCTTCATACAGCAGTACCTCAGATCTAATGAATCCTAATGCAACCACTTGCATGGACATTACAATACCTAAAAACAAGACTGGGTGTGAGAACTGTAGGGAGTTTAGCTCTACATTACTTTAAATAAAAGAGAATTGCCTACTTATGTCAAGAAACAAAACCAGACTATAGTAGTTTGTGGTTAGTCTCATACTGCCATCTACTGAAAAATAACTGAGTTCTCTACAAAACTGTTCTGTTTGTGATACTTCCCACTGCATCTCACAGTACGATTATATTTATATCATTATATATAAATTATATATAATTATATAATATGTGATTGTATTTCCTCAGCTGCAAAGAAGTCTGCAAAACCTTCTACTCTTCCATTCTTATGTAACACTAGAAGTGTATAGCATTTACAGGTATCAAGCCCCTATCCAGTAAAACTCCTGAGTCTTCTGCAGAATCCAAATGCCTACATATTAGCCAAGGAGGAAGTTTAAGAATGTTGTAAGGGGTCAATATAATTAAAGCTGATAGGTTGTATCAGTGGAACAACCTCTCTACTGATCACATACTTACTCCTGCTTTCTATGGAGCCTGTTTATCAATCCAAATCAAGCATAGGATAACATAATTTAACAAACAAACATAAGAAACAGTGAAACTGCAATGAGGGTTATTTACATATTCTTTAGCCCATTCTTTAAATTTAGTCCTTTTACAATAAATGAGGAAAATAAGCCACTGAAGAGAAAGTTTGACTTCCTACTTACCCCCTTTTCTGTTGCACAAATATCTGTATTTCCATAAAGTGTTCCAAGACCAATTACCTTGCCACCATTTGTCCGTATATCAATTTTATGGCTCTGAAAAAAGTTTAAAAATCATACAGTTAGGCTAACTTGTTCTCTAGTTAGGGTTATCTTGTTTTTCAGGTTGTACCACATTAAGCACTGGAAGCCTTAGTCCTGCAAGCAGAACCAGATTTGACAGTGTTTCACTACACATAAATTCTAATTAAAATTTTATTGCATAAGGCAAAACTCAAGTTTTTAACAAATTAGCCAGGTTTCAAGTAAAAACTGCTCTATAGCCCTTACACCTTTCAGCTGTTGCTGCATACAACCAACAAGAGGAAAAAAAGTACAGAAATACACATAAACAAATCTCAAAAAAACCAAAAAAGAACATCAGCTCTTGAGAATAAAATACAGTCATCTGTAAAAGAGAAAATATCAGATTTAAATAGATTGTTCTCTCCTTATACAGTAACATGATGAATTAAATATTTCAATCTGCCATCACAGCTCCTTTGAGGCAGGTACACCATGCTTGTTATTAGAATACTGGTTAAACAGCAAATCCTCCAAATATGTAACTTGAGGAGAATATGGGAACTTGCAAGATTGGAAAAACTAGTGTATAGCAAGGGCTCAGAGTGGCCACTAATAGTTCAGTAAAATAAAAAAAAAATCCACAACACAGACACTAATTCCCCCCATCCCAAATTATTAGAATATCTTCCTAATAAAAAACAACCAGGCTTTCAGAGGTAGGAATCTTTAGAGACACCTAACAGACAGAAGGATTTGCTGAGAGAAGAAACCAATTACAATAGTCAAACAGCTTTTTCACCAAGCGGAATTATTCCACCAGCTGGAATAAAAAAGCACTAATTTTTCACAGGGCTTCTCTAAGCAAGGGAGAAAGGTTTGAATAAGAGGAGGCAAAAGGCTGTCAGGACCTTAACAGATGGCAGAGGAAAAGCAGAAAAATTTGTTCAGAAGAGAAGGACACTGGTGGAGGATGAATCAGGCTCAGATGGTGTGTGGTGAGGAAGCATAGCAGGTCTCCCACCAGTGTGAGTGAGATGCCTGGAAATTATTGCTGTCACCAGCGCAGCAGTCAAGGAGTCAGGAGTAATTGAGGAACATGGAAGCATAATTAAAGGGTTTTCCTGGTGGCATTGTTATCATAAGAAGAACAACAAAAAAAAAAAAAATAAAAAGAAGCAGTGCTTTCTCCATCAAGAATTTGTGAATAATTCATACTCTGAAGAAGACCAAAATGCCATAACTGTGTTTTGGAATTACTGTTGCTATTAGTTGACCTAGAGACTTGGAAGAGATAGGGTGAACTGGACTTCAGCCAACTAAAAAACAATCACCACCCAAACAAAACAAAAAAAAATTCAATAAAACCACCCTCAATAAATCTCACTGGCTGGGTAATGTGTACCACAGCAAAATTGCCAGACAAAATCCATTAAAAGCCTCATAGAGACTTCTCCTTTCTGTTCAATTACTAGTATGTATGATTAAGCAAAGCAGATGTCAAATCCCTAAGTCTATAGTAAAGACACTATAGATTGTATATATATTAAAAAGCTTTTTTTTAAATTACAATTTATACTAACAACTTCTTGCAAGTTAACAAAATTAGCAGTTGTGAAGCTGTTTGCTGGTGCTCTTGAATAATCCCTACATGACGAGCTTTTTTTCATTTAAAATCATTTATCAAACATATTTTTCTCTCTCCTGTAAGGAAAGGGTTACCTTCTTTGTTAGTTAATGAGGTTAATAACAGCAAACCAACATTAAAAGAGCTTTAATCCATCCAGGGGAGGGCACTATCACTTCACTTTCCTCAGTAAAGTAAATTCCCAGAAAGGGAATTGGCTCTTATGCTTCACTACAGTGTCTGGTCCATAACATTTTTTGTAGTTTTGGAAAAACCCTGAAGGCTCATACTTCTTTTTCTCCCAAATAATTCTGCTTCTCTGATAATACAGAGTATAATTCCTAAAGCTTTATTAGAAAAAACACGTTCAGTCACCTTACTAGAACTACAGTACTTTTTAAGCAAGATTAGCCTAAAACCCAGCTCTTAATTTTTAAAATTCAAGATACTTCACATCTTGGATTGTATTTGAGACAAGATTCTCAGAAGGTAAGTTAGTAGTCTTTCCTCAAAACCACCTTTTTCCATGACATCACAAAAAAATTCTTGATGCAATGGCATGCCACGATTACTATCATTTTTACTGGCCAAAACCACCTTGTTTTCTCATGCACTGTTATTGTCATTACTACATAACAGAATAATTTTTAATGAAAATTTTAGATGGGCATCACATAGTACTATTAACTTCTGTGAGATTTTAGGAGCCTTTATTAAAGTAAAACAGTCAACTACAGAATCTGGAAGGTTCAAGCTGTCTATAGTTCCCCAGCTGTGGAGCACACCTAACTCTATTGTATACTACACCACTCCCTAAGCTCAGTTTTCCCTACTTCTGTTATAAAATCGTGTCTTGCCACAATAGAGAAAAATGTTAAAAATTTTTCCATATCTCAAAAAAATTGACCCTTCTTTTGAATTTATACCAATTCCTGCAGATCCAATCCCAAACAATCAAGTGAATTTGATTCCAAATAGCACCTAAGTCAGAGAAACTGTGATTGTTTTTACAACAGCTTATGTCAGCAAACTTGAAGCCTTAAAACTGAAAAAACAACCTCATGCCTATGATACATACAGTATATATCAGATATATTTCAGTCAGGTATTTTGGACATATAATGTGTAACTTCTGATTGAAAATTAACTTAAATTGATTGTCAATAGCTCTGATATACCAATTATTAAAAAACAAACAAAAAAAACGCACAAAAAGAAAAAATCAGCAGCAAGCTGCAAAGTCTTGATTGAGCAGGCATAATAACTATTAACCTACTAGACAGGAAATCCCAGTCTATTTTTTTTTTTCTTTGAGGGGTAGGGAAGATAGGGATCAGGCTTACAGCTGTCACTGCTTCAGCTGGCTTTGCCTATCACAGATACATGGACTTCTGACTCCTTGTTATTTACTAGTTTTGACTTTGTGCTGCAATTGTATGCAATAATTAAAGGTGACGTGCTGTACACATGGCAATATGAGTGTTGCAATGAGAAATACAAGAGTACTTCTCATCTCCAGAACTGGTTCTAAAGTTTTGACACTATATCCCACCACACAATCCCTTTTCAAACAGTGGGGGAGGGTTCTTTGTACCTTTATTGACTGCAAGACACTAGTCCCCTTCTCTGTTTCTATTTTGCAGTTATCACATTCTATTTTCTGAATCTTCACACAGCCAGTCCCCGACGTTTTAATATCCAAATCTAGAATTAAAAGAGTTTTATTAGCAACAGAAAGAAAAAAGTCAGACATCTTTAACATAGTATTTGATCATATTATACAGTAACCATACATAGCACAGAAAAAGAGCAGCTTCTTTGTTACTTAAAAACCTGCTTGCTGTGTTTGGCCACACACTTTGAACAGCATGAGTAGTCACTATCAACTATGAATACAAAGTTTAGTAAGCCAGTGTTTGAGCCATCCAACTCCAAGAGAGAATATTAAGAAGAAGAATGACTGCAACCTATGGCAAGGAATCAGCAGGGTGTGAACCTTAAGTGAAGTCTCATCTTTTCTCTTCTCTAACTCCACCTCCATCTCCTATCTACCCTAGCCACCAATTCCATCAGAAATTCTACTTAGACACCCTGACACACATTTTGGCATAGAAGGTTGGCAGGTGTTTGAGGCTACATGTTGAGTAAAAAGGTTCAACAGCACAAATACATAGGCCTTGCTGCTCCACTAGCCAGCAGCACAACCCAGAACCAGACATAGAAGCATTGGTGTGCATAATTCTCCCCAGCCTTCTGGAAAGCCTGACATTGAAGAAGCATGAAGAAGCCTCTAGTCTGAGTCACCTCACCTTGCTACTGTTCATAGACTCCCACAAAGAAAAAAATCACCAGGTCTTGTAGATAAGATGCAGCAGCAGGAAAAGCATTTTTCATCCATTTGTCTCACCTCTGGGTTTAGGGAATGGGAAAAAGTTTGAGAATGTACAGTCTGGGCATTCTGTCTATATCAATAATATTTTCTATAATAATTTGTATAAATGACCACCATAGTGGCTGGCAAAAGGTAAAGGCAGAAGAAGAAAAAAATGATTTTGTTCTTATAAGGATAAAAGGTAAAAAAGAAAAATTGAAGAGCAATCAGAAGTATTTGTTGCAAGACACAACTGAAGGACTAAGAGACAGTGAGCCCCATTACTCCCTAAAAAAAAGGAGATTTGGTAAAGAAACCTTCATTAAAGCAAATGTGAGTATTTCCTTCACTGCCACTGCCTGCTAAAGTTATCAGAAAGATGAAAAGAATAATCAGAATGTGCAAAACAAGCTTTGTCCTGAGGAGATTCCCAAGTCAGACCTTGGGAATTTCCTTCGGAACATTGAGCCTGAAGATCAATAGTGATCAATAGTGTCACACTGCTGCCCAGGACAGCAGTGTCCTTCTGTCCTGCCTCCTGGAACCATGACAATGGTAAGCTTGCAGACCATGAAAAAAGAGAGATTGAGAGCTTCAATTAACAACAAACGGAAGTCTTGTCACCTGGCAAACTAGGAGAATCCAAGAGACAGAGGTAAAACTAAACATCTTTGCAGCAAGCACACTGCTTACAGCTGCAATAAGCCAAGAGGTTAAATTTAGTAAGGACATAGACCAAATTCAAAGGCTCAAAGTTAACAATTCCTTAAGAAAAAAGGAACTGCTCAGTTCACCCACTGGACAACTGCACAGTGCTTGGGATGGTCTACAACCAAGACTTCTGCTATTTTGCTTTCTGAGAAGAGTCCCAAAAGCCAGTTTGCCTGTGCAAATCCTTGAATTCCATCAGCTTGAAACCCTCCTGCTCTTACTCCTTTTGTCAAAAGGAATGAGAAAAAGACTTGAGAGTGCTCAGTTTAGCCATGATACAAATTCATTAAGACTTTTACCAGAATGAGGTTAAAAAACTTCTGATCCTGTAGAACATATTATTGCCATCATTTGAAAAGGTGGTTTAGTAGTATAATCCTAGTTATCAAAGATGGGTGCTAAAAGAGGACCTGGAAGTCTGGAAATTCATAAACAAGTCATTAAGAAGCACCCAGGACTTCTGGAAAAACACTTTGAGCAGAGTCATGCTACTTTGCTATCCTTTATATAACAAAAATTAATGGACAAGGAATTAAACTCCTCTGTCTCTTCTCCTCAGGGTTCCCGAACCAAGGATAAACAACTCCATAAAGAAGCAGACTGAAAGCTGGATAATACTGCCAATGAAATTTTAACAAGGAGGAACAAGATACAATCTGTTTTGGTGCCAAAACTCCAAAAATAGCCAGTTTGATTCCTCCCTAGCAAAGGCAAGTGCTGAAGCCAACTTTAGCCACATAAACCACAAAGAATGCATGAAGATCTTTGTGGTGTAAAAGACGTGTATCAGAAATTAAGGTATTTAGGAAAAAATAAACACTTTGGTATCAGAATGTAGGCAGGTGTACCCCAGGGTATTTAAGCATCCCAGTTATTAAGCTGCCTTAAGCTATAATACTTGAAATAGATTGGATAATTATTTATTTTCAGATGACTCAGAAGCCCTATACTACTAGAATTATCTCAAATTATGGTTATGCAAGCCCTCAGTTCAGTTTACTTCTGCATACTCATGGAGTCAATGTACAGTAACCAGAAATCAAAAGGCTGGTTTCAGATTTAATTAACACATGGAAAAATAAATAAGCTTAACTAAAAAATTCCTTGACATATGCCATTGGTGAAGGTTGGATGTATCAGAGAGGATTTTCAGATCATGTATGATATTGAAATCCTATACAGAGCTCAAAACCAAACACTAAGACAGACCAAGGATCTTTTGGTACTTTCCCTACTAAGCTGCTTAGAGGTTGCCTTTGGTTTAAAATGCATACTTAAGCTCAGCATCTTCCACACATGCTCTTCATTCAGGCTCTAAGGAGCTTTAGATAACTTGCAGCCTCCTGGATAAGCTCCAACCTAAATTGCAAAAGCTGTTATGAAATGTCTTAATTTTTCACTATCAAGACTTTCAGGAAGATTCCTCACACTGAAACCCTTTATGAAGGCTGAAATTCTTCCCATCTTGACACAATGAATTCTGCACCTTGAGAATAACCAGCTCTGGAGTGACTTGTAATAGTCACTCAGAGACCCTGCAGAAACAAAAATAGCAAAGGACTACAGTGTCCAGACACACCTGGTTCCAGAGAATTGAAGGATAATAAATAGAACACTGGGTTTGAGTCTCAGTAATTACGGGATGGACTCTGTGAATGTGCTCCAGACAAGCCAAGGTAATCTTTGTGCTTGCCAAGCAAAGGAGGAAAAAAAAATAAAAAGAAGAGCTATAAGGTAGCAACTGAAAATTCTCAGGTGAGAGGCAAGACTACAAGACCTTGGAGAAGAGAATCCAGCTGCAGTTCAGTGACAGAGCCAATAAGTAGAGAGGTAACAGCTGATCTGTTTAAGAGAACAGATTTGGATTTCCAGATATCTTTAACAATAGCTTTAGTTCCATATTGTCTTTCAGCTATAAGCTATGCACTACCTTCAACAGTACAAGAAGCTGGAAATAAGCACAAATAGCAAGGTTCAAAACTTTCATCAATGACACCAAATTATTCAGACTAGTCAAAAACTCACTGACAAATTGCAGGAAGACACCTTGGAATACCACATACTCAAATGATAAAGTAGCAGGAAATTAAACTGTGGGACTCTGACAAGAGTTTACCATGAAGCTCTCACCCTGAAACTGTTTCCATGTGTAGAGGGACACTCAGCAGAGAGATCCACTGAGCATTTGAGCTCTATCAGGCTCTGAGAATCCTGCGATGAAAACAATTGACAGCTAAGAGAATGCTTAAATGAAATATCCTTTACACTTGCTCTATTCCTACTCTTCTCTGAGCATCTGTTTATGACCAGAGACAGGGCAGTGGCTGCTGGAGTCATGGTAGGAGTCAGTACAACCATTCTGACAGGGAAAAGCACACTGAGGGCAGGAAGGGAGAGATTATATGCACAAATATTCTGTAATTACTTACAAAATATTTGTGCATATATTAGTTGCTAGGAAACAAAACAGACCCTAAGTTGTGATAAGCATATTTAAGAAACATCCTTTCAGTTATAAGCAGTGTTTAAAAGAAGTAAATTATAGGGATGAGTAAGACTGGAAAATGTGAGAATGATGTTACATCAAACCCATAGGACTTCTCCATTTTTAATTATATACAGTTCAGAAAAACAAGGAAAAAAAATGCACACTGTAGAATTTTCCCTAAGACACAGGGTGGGAAAAAATGTAAAGTAAGATAAAAGGTGCAGACTATATTTGCTGTATGTAATATCATATTCAGCAAAAGTCATAGATTACGCATATGAAGAGTAAGTAGGGTGGGATTATTCATAATTTCTCATATCACAACTGCAGCAGGGCATTAAATGAAATAATGCAACAGTCTTTAATAACTTTAAGAAAACAACAGTCCAGGTGCATTGTGCATCAAAAAGTTTTTCCAGCATGATGAAACATTCTGCACTGTATAGGAAATAGCCCAAATCCATAGGAAAAAACCAAAACCACATTAATGACTGGACACAGATCTCTGAGTTTGTCCTCCCTAAACTCGGGGCCACTGTCAGAACTTCACTGTCAGATTAGTAGAGACGTTTATTGGTTTAGCTACTCTCACAAATTATGTTGCATAAAAGAAACCCTGCACAGATAATAACCCTGCGCCCAAAAAGATAATGCAACGTTTGAACTGAGCAAGGGAGCCCTTCTGGGTATTTCATCCGCACCGTTACCTTCCAGGCTTTTTTGACTGCAGACAGCCACCGAGCAGAGCCGGGAGGGAGCCGGAGGATGCCGGACAGCCCCTGGGAGCAGGCGCGCCCAGCCCAGCCGAGGATGCTGTCCCGGAGCCCAGTCCCGTGAGCAGCAGCTGCCAGAGCACGCTCCCAGTGCCGCTCACCAGCTCCAGTTTAGCACGAACCACCGATGGCAAAAGGGTCAGCAACAAATCGCGTACCCAAAGCCCAGGAAATGCCGGCACACAGCAAACAAGACGGGGCGTTCTGAATTAGCGAGGGCGCGACGCCGCTCCCCACAGCGGCTTGCAGCCAAAGCGCCAGCCCAGCCCAGCCCCGGTGGGGTCCCCCCGATCCGTGCGCCTCCCCCGCACCCACCGAACTTCACCGGCGTCCGGATGTCCACGGCGGCCTTGCTGTCCACGCCGTCCGCCACGATCGCCACCTGCCCCAGCGCCTCGTCGTGCTCCACCCGCACCGGGTCCCGCTCCCGCCCGGGGCTGCCGCCGCTCACGGCCACCAGCACCCGGTCCGCGCCCGGGCAGCGCTGCGGGTCCAGCGGGCGGACGCTCACCTGGCACGGCAGCCGCACCCGCAGCCGCCCCCGCGGGCTCACCGACAGCGCCCACTCCCGCGGCGGGGGCGGACCGGGGCCGCTGCGACCGCGCCGGAGGACGGGCGGCGCCCACTGCCCACCCGCCGCTCGCACGGCCAGGGCCGCCCAGCGTGGGGGCAGCGCCCTCATTGCCGCCGGCAGGGCGAGAGCGCCCGGGAGCCGCGTCAGGAGAGCCCGGGACGGGACGGGACGAGGCCGCTGCTGGCGGGCGGCCGTGACCCCCGGCCGGTCACGTGGCGGGGCTGCACGCGGGGAGCGGCACCGGCACGGCCGGTAAACAGGCGGTGGCTCCGCCGCGGAGCCTCTTGGGAGTCGTAGTTCTACAGCGCGCGGAAGGAACTACAGCCGTGCCCACGGGCCTATCGGAGAGCGGGAGGGGCGGGGCATTGCCGAGAGTCTGCTGCTATTGGGCGGCGGGGCTGGAGCGGAGCCAATCGGGAGCGGGGGCGGTGAGGCGGGCGGGAGGCCGCGCGCGGGTCGCCATAGCGACGGGGACGCCGCTCGGCCGGGCCGGGCCGGGCTCTGCGGCGGCCGGGGGGAGTCGAGGGGACCGGGGCCGGGACCGGGGCCGGGGCCAGGCGAGGCAAAGCAAAACAAAGTCGCGGCTCCGACGTCTAGGCGGGAAGTAAGTCAAGGGCGCCGCCACAGCCGTGTTTGAGGAGTCCCTGAGGGTCAGGAGTGCGGTCCCTGGGCGGGGCCCGGGCGGGGCCGTGTCGCGCGTGAGGAGACGAGGCGCCCCGGGCGGCCGGGCCTTCGGGGCCCTACAGCCTACAGCGAGCCCGGGCTGCTGAAATGTGCTCGGTCAGCCGGGGTAGAAGCAGTTTGGCAGATGTGTTGGAAAACTAACACATCTGTTGGTTTTGTTGGTTGGTTTTTTGAAGTGATATCACAAAGCACCACTGTCACTAAGTTTTGGTCAATGTGTTGTGCTGCTTTTTAGCGGTTCTGAAGACAAGCAAATAAATATTTTCCTGAGTTCTGTGCAAATACGCCATGAGACAATTGTCCTTACAGGGTTTACAAACAAGTAGGGAAGCACTTAATTAAAAGTTTAAAAGACTCTTCTGGACTTCATACCCCACGTTATCATCGTATAACAACTTTAAAAAATTAGGTGGGGCATGTGGGCAATAGATGAGGCACGGTCAGGGGCTGAATTCTTGTAATAGTGGTTTACTGCCAATAATGAAAGAGAAAAATACACAGAAAGCTGCATTGTCTTAGCAAGATTGCAAAACAAGACATAATGAAATCTGGGCCTGTTACTTAATTCCTGTCTCCCTTTTGCACTCCATGTGTTTATATTTCATAAATAACCATGCAGGCATGATACTTAGTCATCAATTATTTTACATCTCATTAGCCCTATTTCCATTTCTGTGACTGTCTGGCTTTGATTATTTATCAATCTGAAATGACATCTCATCTTCCAAGAGGAAGGAAGATTGCTCTGTTTTTTCAGTCCATTGGTAATTTTCACTGTGGAAAGTTTAATGAAGGTTCATATTCACCAATAAAGCCCATCAAGGTAAATATTGCATTGGTTTACATTACTCAGTCTCAAAACATCCTTGGGCTAAACACATAAAGGGCTAGCCTGTTTTATGATAATCTAGTACACAAAAATTGAATTCTAGAAAGTTTAAAAAGTGTCAAGAAATATCTTGGGACATGACGGAAGCTGGAAGTTTTTTTTCCCAAGTCTTCAGAAATAGTGGATTTTGGGAAAAAAACCTACAAAATTCTCACCCTTGAGACCAATTCCAAATTTGGATGTCAGATTGTTTGTCAGGGCGAAAGTTAGAGATATGTAACAAGTGTGTTGCAATGTGCTATGACTCCACTAGATGACAGCCAGTTCAGCAAATAACTGTGATCCCTCCGACTGTTCGAGGGAATCTGGTCGCGGGTAACTCAGTGGGGCTCACTGCTGCCTCCCTTTCCCCCTGGGTCAGTGCTGGGGTTCCTGATCCTTGACTCCCACCTCCTCTGAAACAATAGTGCTGCTTTCTCACAGCCCCCTTTTCCTCCAGGAGCCTGGTATTTGCTGCTCCTCACATAGACAGAGGTTTATCAATACCCACAATCTGCAGTAAACTGTGCTCTGCATCACCTTTAATATTGTCAGGCTTTGCATGATTGACAAGTTAGTTCAAGAAACCATTCCAAGATGTTTAAGCCTCGATTATGTTTATATTTCATTGTTGCTGTTGGGTTTTCTCATTAGATACAGTTTAAGCACACATGGTTAAAAATACTGAACAAAACAGAGAAAAAGTTATTGCCAGGAATAAGTTCTTTCTCCATACATATGAAATCTCATGTGCTTAATGTTTTACTTATGTCATCTATATGTTTTGCTATATTAAAACAATATAGCAAAATAGTTTTCTGTTTAACTTTCATGCTTTTGTTTGGATCAAGTGGTATAGCATGTAGCATGCTACACCAGTGAAAGAATATTTATTTATTTACTTGTTTTCGTCTTTCATTTTTTGACTTGTCATTTGCAGGAAAAGAAAGTTGCATTAAATTTATAAGTGAAGATATAATTAGAACTCTTTTGATAGCTGCATGATTTCTTAGTGAATTACAATCCTTATTTGCCATTTTGCCAGATATTGATGATGTCTGCCAAACAATATTCAGTATTTTATGCAAAAGATCAAAAAACCCTAGAACTCATAGAAGTTCTATAAAGTGATATAAAGCGGATTTTAAGCCAAAGCATTATCAGATGCACTTTTAGGCTAAGGTGAGAGAGACATTTCAAGGAAAGAGGAATTAAATAAGAAGTATTTACAGGCGAGGCTGTAGAAGAAATACATTTTTCCAACTTTTGTATTTGGAGTTTATCACAGAACAACTACAAACTGGTGCAGGTACCCACAGAGTATAAACTTAGTCTGCCTGGGCAAGATTAACTTCACCCATTTGCTCTAATTGTAATGAAGAAATAATGTGACTTTACTTAGGAAGATAGGGCCACCTTTATCTGTATTTGGGTTTTTTTTAGTGGTGCATTTCTGAACTGCTTCCTTGAATCTTCTTAGTTCTCAGCATGTGTCTAGGGCTCAGTAGGTAGGCAAATTATATTTTGTTTGTTTCCTCCTCTGTACTTTAGCATTGCAAAGCATGCAATTGTTTGGATTTCAGGGATTTTCTTGTTTGTCACGCTACCAGAAATTTTCTGAGGAAAGTTCCTCATGGAAACCATGTGAAATGGGAAGTGACAAATCTTACCATTCAAATTCTCCTTATCTTAGCCATATCTAATTAGAACTCCAGCAGATGAAGTCTGTGTGTGGCTTAGGGTGGTTCTATCCCAAATAGCAGAGATTTGAAAACAAAAGAAAACAGCAGAACTTATGACAGAAATTGTTGAGCAGTTTAGGTGGAAATTGTTAGCAGTTTATGTTGTGCTCTCATTTCCCCAAAGTGGTGAGGTTGTACAGTCTAATCAAACAATCCATTCTGATTCACATGCTTTTGATAATGTCCTATTGTACATGATGTAGTTTTAAATTCAAGTGTCATTTAATGTTGGCATGGTTTTGTTGTTTAAAGACACATCTATTCATGCTGAAGAACAGGCTCTGCCCAGTTAAAACAGAAGGTCTTCTACTTTAACATTAGGGGAAAAGCATAAAAAAAATATAGGGGGTGGAAAGAGGATCACTGTGTGATAAAATAAATCTATGGTGCTCCTGTTATTATCTGTAGGTCTCATCCCTTCTCTTTGAAGAGGATATGGTGAAACTGAAAAAGTTTTGGAGAAGGATGAGGACAGTGGAAGGCAGAGAAGGGCTTTCATGCCAGTGACAGCAGGTGGATTGTCTGCTTTAGCCTAGAAAAAGAATTGTCAAATGATGATTCAACATTAGGAATAAACCTAGTGGCCTAGAAAAGTTGTGATTATTCAGTGACTCATCCAGTAAAAGAACTAGGTGACATCAAGGAGCCAGATTCAAAAGCAACAAGAAGCACTGGTACTCATGTCATGCTGAGGCAAAATGAAAATCTGTATTCCCCTGGATTTTACAAATACTGAAAGTTTTGGGTGAGTTCAAGGAGACAGGGGATGAGTTCAGAGAAGCATCACCACACCATGACTGGTGGGTACTTCTGTCCCTCCCCAGGCATCCAGCTGTAGGCTGGAAGTGTGCAAAGATAGTTGATTCGTCTTCATACATGGACCTGCATCTCTTTATGCTCAGAATAAAATTTTATATTTTGCATCTGTCACTATGACAATAATCAATGCAGCTAAGTGTCACCTACCTGGATTCTGCACTGATTTGTGTATGAACATTGCTGTTTGCTAGAGGGAGAGAGAAGTAAAGATGCTGAAATGAATTTGGGGAATCCGAGTTCAGATTTCTATTGTTATTGCTGCCCTGAAGCTGTTTCACAAGACAGTTCTCAGCCTGATTTGACCCAGGTTCCAAAACAGCCTTGTAATTCCCATTCTCTGCAATTCTGTGTCTAGGATCAAGGCTGTGATATTGTTTGCAGTTCCACAGTTTGAAAACATCCTTACTTGTTGGGCTACTCCATGAAGTTAGAAATCATGACAACTTTCATTCCTATTTCAATTAGGCAGTTTATTTACCAGATACTTCAAAGACACAAATCTTCAACTTTGCTTTTTGAAGTTCATAGATCCAATTTTATATAAGCTGAATTACATATTTAGTAATGTAGTAGGTAATGGAAGAATGCTAAACTTATTTTAATGTCCCATAAAACCTATGTATGTTTTGTTTGTGTCTGCCCCCTCTTAAAACTACATGGAGACAAGGGCTTGTTACACTAGCTGAGGCTGTCTAATGGGTTTTCTCTGTCTCAGATTTCTATAGTTGTGTCTTAACTTAAAATTATAAACTTTTCAGATTCAGAAGATTTTTTTGTTGTTGTTCTCTCCCTGCCCAGGAAACTGGAGTCTTGCTGAGGACTCTTTTGTACTACTGTACTGGGAGAAGGTATATTTTTGATGATGTCAACTGTATGTTTCACATACAAGTATTGATAATTATTCCTACACCCATGAAACACTCACATTTTGGCATTGTTCTGCTTAGAGTTTCTGCCACAGTGCTTTTCGCTCTGTCTAAATTCTAAGTTGAGAGGAACAAATAAAACAACAGCAGACGTAAACACAAAATGCATATGCTAAAATATTCATCAGTTCTTTACAGATGAAAAATCACTTGCTATTCATAAATGTGTATGCATGTTTATGT